TATTTCTGCCCATATTGTCCTCACGTAGGACTCTTTCTACATCCCTCATGAGATTATGACAGTCTTAGACCCTATAGTAAAGGAGAAAATATCTTTCAATATTGTTTAATTAAAAGAAACAAGATTTTAACAATAATGGGTGCAAAATGCTCACCGGCTACTTCTGTCCATTTTGTCCTTGCGTGGGGCTCCTTCGACGTCCCTCTTGTGATTATGACAGTCTTAGACCCTATAGTAAGGGAGAAACTAAGCTATCAATATTGCTTAATTCAAATAAAAGTAAAAACAAGAAGATTTTAAAAATAACGGGTGCAAAATGCTCACCGATGATTTCTGCCCATATTGTCCTCACGTAGGACTCTTTCTACATCCCTCATAAGATTATGACAGTCTTAGACCCTATAGTAAAGGAGAAACTAAACTTTCAATATTGTTTAATTAAAAGAAACAAGATTTTAACAATAATGGGTGCAAAATGCTCACCGGCTACTTATGTCCATATTTTCCTGGCGTGGGGCTCCTCCTACGCTCATAATATCATTTTAACAACCTTAGGCCCTATAGTAAAAGAGAAATTAACTTTCAAAATTGTTATACATTTTACGCAGTTTGGATATGCAATTGCCTATGCTGCAGTGTACGATGTGTTGCCTACCATTTTATTTCAATTTTGCTTAATTAAAATAAAAGTAAAAACAAGATTTTAAAAATAACAGGTGCAAAATGCTCACTGATTATTTCTGCCCATATTGTCCTCACGTGGGACTCTTTCTACATCCCTCATGAGATTATGACAGTCTTAGAAGCTATAGTAAAGGAGAAACTAAGCTTTCAATTTTGCTTAATTAAAATAAAAGTAAAAATAAGATAAATTTTAAAAATAAGGGGTGCAAAACTCTCAACGGTTTATATTGTCCTTGTGTAAGGCTCTTTCTACGTCCCTCATGTGATATTGACAGTCATAGACCTTATAATAAAGGAGAAACTTAGCTTTCAATATTGCTTCATTAAAATAAATATAAAAACAAGAAGACCTTAAAAGGTAGGGGTGCAAAATGCTCACCGATTACTTCTGTTCTTATTGGCCTTACGTGGGACTCCTTCCACGTCGCTTGATAGATTTTGAGACTCTTAGCCCCTATAATAAAGGAGAAACTAAACTTTCAATATTGTTTAATTAAAAGAAACAAGATTTTAACAATAATGGGTGCAAAATGCTCACCGGCTACTTCTGTCCATATTGTCTTTGCGTGGGGCTCCTCCTACGGTCATAATATGATTTTAACANATTGTCCTTGCGTGGGGCTCCTCCTACGCTCATAATATGATTTTAACAACCTTAGGCCCTATAGTGAAAGAGAAATTAACTTTCAAAATTGTTATACATTTTACGTAGTTTGGATATGCAATTGCCTATGCTACAACGTACGATGTGTTGCCTACCATTTTATAAACAAAATCTTTTGAACTTAATTTTTTAAACAATTTCTAACTCTAGGAAAATGATTAAACAAATTGTCCACAAAAGTGAATTCCGATCACTGGAAGCAATGGCGCTAACAGTTTTGAGCTTACCGTGACTGATAAGCGGGAAGAACTAGTTCAAATAAAAGTAAAAGCAGGATTTTAAGCATGAGGGTTGCAAAATGCTCATCAGTTGCTTCTGTCCATTTTGTCCTTGCGTGGAGCTGCCTCAATGTCCCTCATGTTATTTTATAATATAACATTTTTCAACTGTATTCTTGATGTAAAATTGGTAGAAGTTGAACTTGTGCAGGAACTTTACAAAATACAGCCGACAGTACTCCGAAAAACAGTTGTAATTGCTTTAAACTTTTCACTTGATTAACATTTATCTATAATACTAGGTACCGATTGCGTAAATGAGGAATAAATGCTAAATTCCACACAATTTTCTTTTAAATTACACTGCAAAACGTAAAATTCTCCTATTACATAACCTAAAAAAACTAAACGTCAAGTAAGTTGTGTTCAATAATGCTAAAACTTTATCATTTACATTGTTTATATTTTTCCTTAAATTTTTGAATAGTTTACAGCAAAATCATTAACCATGTCTAATAAAATACCATTGTGATATATATTGTGTCTTTACTGCTTGAATTAAGGTCACTATTTATGTTTGAATCATTTTAAAATAGATTCACATTCTTGACATCATCAAAATGAACGCACCTCCAAAAAAAATAATAATAACACTAAATTTTAAACGTAAACCGCGGGAAACTATAAATTAATAAGTCTGTTTTTATAAGACATGCAGAGTGTTTAGTATCTATAATTTGCGAATTATAAGTACATTGCTTAACTGCTCTTCAAAATTACTATGAAATGTGTTAAAGTAATAAGGTTATTTATTGAATTCATCAAAATGAACGCACCTCCAAAAAAAATAATAATAACACTAAATTTTAAACGTAAACCGCGGGAAACTATAGATTAATAAGTCTGTTTTTATAAGACATGCAGAGTGCTTAGTACCAATAATTTGCGAATTATAAGTACATTGCTTAACTGCTCTTCACAATTACTATGAAATGTGTTAAGGTAATAAGGTTATTTATTGAATATTTTATTTAATAAATTTTAGTGCGCCTAAGTCCATCGAAATGTGTATTTATTGTAAAAAATAATAAAATTAAACGACTTGTACATTACGTTTTATTTATTATTTAATTTATTAACTGTGTAATTACATTTGGTACTATTTATTTCACTTACACGTAAATTGTCCATATCGTCCTCACGTAGGGCTCCTTCTACATCCCTCATGAGATGATGACAGTCTTAGACCCTATAGTAAGGGAGAAACTAAGCTATCAATATTGCTTAATTAAAATAAAAGTAAAAACAAGAAGATTTTAAAAATAACGGGTGCAAAATGCTCACCGATTATTTCTGCCCATATTGTCCTCACGTAGGACTCTTTCTACATCCCTCATGAGATTATGACAGTCTTAGACCCTTTAGGAAAGGAGAAACTTAGCTTTCAATATTGCTTCATTAAAATAAATATAAAAACAAGAAGACCTTAAAAAGTAGGGGTGCAAAATGCTCACCGGTTACTTCTGTTCTTATTGGCCTTACGTGGGACTCCTTCCACGTCGCTTGATAGATTTTGAGACTCTTAGCCCCTATAATAAAGGAGAAACTAAACTTTCAATATTGTTTAATTAAAAGAAAGAAGATTTTAACAATAATGGGTGCAAAATGCTCACCGGCTACTTCTGTCCATATTGTCCTTGCGTGGGGCTCCTCCTACGCTCATGATATGATTTTAACAACCTTAGGCCCTATAGTGAAAGAGAAATTAACTTTCAAAATTGTTATACATTTTACGTAGTTTGGATATGCAATTGCCTATGCTGCAATGTACGATGTGTTGCCTATCATTTTATAAACAAATTACTTTGAATTTAATTTTTTAAACAATTTCTTACACTAGCAAAATTATTAAACAAATTGTTCACAAAAGTGAATTTCGACCACTGGAAGCAATGGCGCTAACAGTTTTGAGCTTACCGTGACTGATAAGCGGGAAGAACTAGTTCAAATAAATGTAGAAGCAGGATTTTAAGAATGACGGTTGCAAAATGCTCACCAGTTGCTTCTGTCCATTTTGTCCTTGCGTGGAGCTGCCTCAATGTCCCTCATGTTATTTTATAATATAACATTTTTCAACTGTATTCTTGATGTAAAATTGGTAGAAGTTGAACTTGTGCAGGAACTTTACAAAATATAGCCGACAATACTCCGAAAAACAGTTGTAATTGCTTTAAACTTTTCACTTGATTAACATTTATCTATAATACTAGGTAGCGATTGGGTAAATGAGGAATAAATGCTAAATTCCACACAATTTTCATTTAAATTACACTGCAAAACGTATACATCACATATTACATAACCTTAAAAAACTAAACGTCAAGTAGGTTGTGTTCAATAATGCTAAGACTTTATTATTTACATTGTTTATATTTTTCCTTAAATTTTTGAATAGTTTACAGCAAAATCATAAACCATGTCTAATAAAATACCACTGTGATATATATTTTGTCTTTATTGCTTGAATTAAGGTCAATATTTATGTTTGGATCATTTTAAAATAGATTCACATTCTTGATATCATCAAAATGAACGCACCTTAAATTCATGTCCAAGAAAAAAATAATAATAACACTAATTACAAAAGTAAACCGCGGGAAACGACCTTATGCAACTTATGCTCTCCTAATACAAAAACGCAAATTTTCGAAGTGCTCAACGCAAAATTTCATAATAATAATACTCTAGTTTATTCATTATTTCATTATAAGAACAAAGGCTTTCAACGCAGCACTACCACTGAAGATGTCAGCCGCAGTAGCCGACGAAACGTCTACACAGAATAGTTCACTTACACCACGGCCCTACAGCCCTAATCTTTATTCTACTATGGATCCAAAATCCAGCAGTAGTTGTTGCAGGAAATAAATAATTACAGATGTACCGAGTATAAATTATATACAACAAAAGAAGCAAGAACGTTCGTAACTGATGGTTAACGGAATGGATTGGTACTGCATGTAAAACTTTTGTTACTTTCCCCTGGGGATCGGTGAGACGACTACGATGTATTTAAATGTCTATGCACAACTGTACTTTTACTAATGTATAAATAAATACAATGCATAACAGAATAAAACACCTAATATTTTTAACATTTTTATTGAAGTAAAAACATAAAATACATAATTACTTTAATCGCTGCCTTGTCGTAAAACGCATTTCACGAAAAATGCAAACATTTTGTGAAACAGCCGATTAAACTAAAAGGCTGCTACATATACATTTCAAACAAAAACTAATCATTAAGGGAATAGATATGAATACATAAGCAATTAATTAAAAATAATATATAAAAACTATTAAATCTGATTGAAATATTATATTTTACTATTACCTTAGAGGCTACTACTCTGACCGAAATCTTGTAGAAGTAAGAGGTCTCTCAAAAGCATTTTTATTGTACGACAAATGTGTACATGATCATCTTCTTCGTTGTCGCCGACAACATCAAAGTATTGCATTTTCTTTTCTAAAACGTCAAGTCTAGCTTCGACCAGATTTTGACCGAAATTTATGTGATCGAGAAGATTCAAACGACACTCTGATGAATCAATTGCAGCTTCGGGCTGTGGTATTTTCACAGTGTCTAGATCCAACAAATTATCGGTTGTTAAAGGTTCCTCAGTTTTGTGTGATTTCAGAAGAGACAGTAATACAGAACTGTTAGCGAGATTTTCGAAAGATGGAGAAATAGTTTCGTTGTTCTTGTTTTTCTGTATATGATACAGATCATCAATGCTCCTCTCGTCATGACCTGACAAATTTCTTATTTCCTCTTTTTTGTTAATTTCTTCGGACAATAAGCACTTTAACCATGGTTTTGACCACAGATAAAGCTTTGGATGATTTTTAGCCCTGAAACAATAATAATTAAATTACTCAGCTAGCAAAACCTTATTGTTTTTTTCAGCTGAACATTGCGATCTTTTAAATATGCAACTACTTACTCAGCGATATTTAATTTAATCCGAAGTGCGTGTATATAACTCTTCAACTCGATCAAGGCGCCGGAATAATCGTGAGACTTATTTAATTTTTCGAACCTCTTGAAGAGCATATCATCATCCTTACAGTGATAAGATCCGACCGTGAGAACGCCATGCTTCAACCAATCTTGGTCGTGGTAATATATTCTTGATGATCTACTCCTAGTCGAGTTCTGACATATGTAACATACATACTTATCAGGGACTTGATTTTCCTTTTCGATATTGTTACAGTAAGCGTGCTGCCAACAGAGACACAATTCACACTGAATCATAAGACCGTCTTCTTCGGTTATTCCGCATGTGCAATTTATTATTTCTTCACGTCTCATTTGCACGATTTTTATCACTTCGCCCCCTTCAACAATGTAATTTGGCTCGCAGGGTAGCACAGATGGCATCGTGTCTTCTGAACATTGCTCTTTATAATCAGCTGCCGGTAACGATTCAGGAAAATGTGATTCGCCTTCTTCAAAAGCTTCAGTCTGACTATTTTCATGACTGTTGTCACCTTCTTTTTTAAAAATTTCACATTTAACAATTGGAAGTAATGTTTTAATGCCTGACGATCGATTGGCATTAGTGTACGACAATGACGACGAAGACGACGATGATGCTGAGTTGGAATCGTTAACATTGCCTGGCACGGCGTCCGATTTTTTTAAAAGATCCTTAAGTTTAATATCGGGATAAGCATTTGGCGGCAGTCCGGGCGGATATTTGATCGCTACACTGCCCACAGAAGGTTTAGTATTAAGCAGCTTAAGAATCTCGGAATCCTTTAACACAGACAATGCTTCCTCTTTGATTTTCATTTTGTCTTCGTTATCGTCATCACAAGGGAAAATTGAAGGGGGATCGCTGTCGTTTTTTGTGGATTGCGTCGGAGCCGATCCAGTTGTCTTTGAAGGAATGTTTTTTGATCCCTGACTTTTTAGCGGAATCTGTTTCAGTTTTTCAGCTTTTTCGGTAAGGTTCTCGCCGACTGTGCGTGCGTACGCCAAGTCCGCTACGTTGGGTGTTGAATCGAGATATTTGGTGTATTCGGGATGATAATGTTTAACATGCATCTGAGCAAGATTTTCACGACGAAAACTCTTATCACATCCCGAAATAGGACACTGATACACTCCGTCTACCGATGTGATTTTCAAATTATTTTTTACTTCATTTTGCTGTACAACTTCGGGATCGTGTTCTTCGCTCGCTGAAACACCATTTTCGACAGTTGTTTGATTACTGACCGTTTCTCGTATCTGTGCAGATCGTCTCGTTTTTTTATGAAGACTAAAGTCGAAAGTATATGCTGTGAGATTATAATCTGGATGGGCCTCTAACCACGTTTTTACTTCCGATCGTGTTCGAAACCGTTTACCTTCGGGACTAAAACAAGAAGTACTAATCATCAACCATCAAATAAAATAGAAATATTAATGTAACACATATTTATATAGGGTTTGGTTAATTTAATTACATAAATTTTGTATATGAAATAAAGCTAGTTGTGGTACGTTCTTCTTCACAAATTTTTAAATAACAAAATTAATTGCTTCGATGAGATCGCTATAATCACAGAATAATTAATGATTATTTTATAAAACATAGGTCTAACAACTACTTGTTGTTTTCAATATTTAAATAAACAGAATATTTTACTTCACGATAACAGTATCCCATTTCCCAGCAGATGTACCATGGGGACGCTGAGCCAAATGTTTCACCCAATTTGGCGGTAATCTTGGATCGACCACGATTACAGACTTTCTGGCGCCATCGTTTAACTCAATTGACGATTCTTCGCCTACGGGTTTTCCGTTTTCCCACCTACAGACAACAATATAATATTCAATGACATTGTAAAACACAAAACCACTTTTTAATTTTACAAGTGTATACACTAACTTTGGTACCCAAATGTCTGCTACATCTTCTATTTGAGGGGCAGATTCGTCTGATGTTGATGTGTCAAAAGGTTTCGAACGTTTTCCAAATAATGCAGCTACGTTTAGTTTACGTTTCCGATCACGTCGTTCTTGTTTTGTGCTTTGAATTGGATCAAACAGTGGGGATGACTGAAGATGTTTTCCATCAACTTTTACCATTCGATGTACTTTTAAAGATTTTACAAAACCGTCGTCAAATTTGACTTCGTAAACACCTTTAAATTGAGAAATAACAACAAAAATTATCACAGAAACCATACTACAAAATTCACAATATTTATTCTACACTATTACAAATAATCATAAACGAGCGATCGTCTACTTGAATCTTTTTGAAAAATAATTTATAAAAATATTTACAATTATTGCTTAACATTTTTTTGATAAACAATACACATCTATTTAAGTAAATGGATAAATCTGACATACACTTTGTCTATTAGACATTTTTTAATAAGGAAAAGAGACATTATTTTTCATACCATTATTCAACACTTTTGTAACAGTTGCAGGAAATTTCCTGGCATCACTCCATGAAGCCAAACACTTTTCTCCAACAGAAAACTTCTGAGTCTCTTTTTTCTGTAAAGGGCGAAGCCTTGAGCTGTTCATTGAAATCCACTCATCATATTTACTGGAATACTTTTCAAAATGTATTAAAACTTCACTTTCTTCGTAATCAACTTCAACAATTTGTGCTGGATACCAGACTTCATTAAAATCCAATGCCTCTATGTGCATATTAGGTGTAAAAGCTTTAATTTTTTCTTGTTGCTTCTCTGACTGATATGCAGTACTAGATGATAACATTGAAGACATACTTGGACTTAAATTATCAGTAGCAGATAAAGTTGGCTCCCTTTTAATAGAGATTTCTTCTTCCTTGTTATCATTTACTACAGTTTTTAAAAGATTATCGTCACTGTTTGCAGAAGGAGGACTCAAACAGTTGCCTTTCTGTAATTTCGTTTTCTTTGGAATGGCTTTTTTCCAAGGAAAAACACTAGGTAAAACTCCTTGTTTTAACATATACTTTTTACCTTTGAAATGGCAAAAATCGGCGTTTAAAAAGTGTCTGGAGCAAATATAAATAACTTTCATATCTTTCTTATCTTCAGGAATTCGACATAATAACATCCACTTCGGTCTTATGTCAGAATGCATGGGAATCTTATGAAAAGTTACACCTTGATGCTCTTCCTTACCTTCTTCTGAAGAACAATCGGGTACATAACATCGCCGAACCATTATTTTATTTTTTTTTTTCCTATTCACCACTTACTTTAATTTGTAAATACAAAACTGACCTAAACCGACCCTGCGAAGTAGACACCATCATTACACCATAGACAAAATGGACACCCAACCAATAAATAGAATAGAATAGCCATGGATCATGTTAGCTTGTTGATATTAGCGTTGCCTATCTATGTTAAAGGATATGTCTAAAAGGAGTCACTTTAAGAGGCTTCAAAAGCTAACCTACTAGTAGCAACTGATAAACGAAAAATTGCTATTTCGTAAAATTGTCAGCAGATCGCGCTTACAGAAATTATTTTGATTAGTAATTCCTCTGCAATTGGCTCTAAAATTCACACAATTTCACAATTGTTTCATATTTTACCCATAATTCACAATCGAATAACCGGAAGTTAACTGTACAATTGATTTAAACAAAATTTTGACTGTAAGCTCCTAATTAAATAATTTGTCAAAATGTGCACAGATGAAAGTTTAATTTAACTTTAAGTTTTCCCTTATATCGAAACTTTGTAGATATTTGCTATTGTATCAGTATTTGCCTTAAATATATCTTCATGTTAGGTATATTCTCTATTGTAAATCCCACATATTTATTACATGGCAAATCCACAATATAATCTCAAATACATACAAACCTATGAGAAAATTAATACTTCTTCACCACATTTCACTTAAACAACACAATAAAAACACTTAGTTTATAAAAGAAACACTTTTATTTAATTGTGTCTGTATTAATCAAACAAGCCAAGACCCATGTCATCATCCGACTCTTCAGATTCTTCTTTCTTTTCTTCTTTTTTAGCTTCTTCTTTCTTATTCTCCGTAGCAGCTGGAGCACTAACTACGGCAGCTTGTCCCACAGAAGTAGCTCCTACACTTGAACCAAGTTTGGTAATTAAATCTTTTATATTTATCCCTTCTAAAGCTTTTGCGAACAAGCCAGACCAATACGGCTCCACATCAACATTGGCTGCTTTTAAAATGGTTTGAATTTTCTCGCTCTAGAAAAACATATAACTTAAATATGAAACTGATTTAAAAACACAAAAGCTATTAAACGACTCAAAGTGCGATGGTTAATTGTGAGCGAGATAAATTTGAAAATGTGTATTTTTAACCTTACCGTGATTGCAACATCATCATCTGCTAATATTAAGGAAGAGTACACACATGCAAGTTCAGCAACAACAGCCATTGTTTCCTTAAAATATACTTTTTTGAATTTATAATAAACTAATTTTCTATTAACTGGACCTACCAAGTACCTCACAAGCCACTAATAACTACTTGAAGAACGCTCCCGGAATTGGAATACGACAAGTTAACAAAACACAGTTGACCATAACTTGGCACCATAGATAATAGGTTGATACCATAGATGATTGACACCGACTGACACCACTGATATGATTAGTGTGTCATAGATACGATCATAGTAGGTTAAAGAGAAATCACTGGAGGTCTGTCCCCACCTCGCGTAACCTAACTCCATGAATATAAATTTAAATAAATTTAATTTTTGAAGTTTTTAGAAGTTTTTTAAGTAACGAAGTTAGAATTTATGCTACAGACAAATAGGATGTGTTCCATGAGACTTACAGACAGATAAAACGAAAAGTAACAAATTCACGAAGTAAGGTTAAAAGGTTTCTTTATTGCCAGCAGTCGTTAAAATCACTTGTCAATTAATCTACGTATAATTTCATTAAATCGTAAGTCAGCTTGGGCGAGTACACCCACAAGTTTAACAACCTTGGGTCAATTCCATATGAAGTTCTATATGAAAATTGACAGCTTTTCTATAGGTGGAAATAATAATGTTATTATTATTATCATCTCTGTGATTTCTCTCTTTTAATTCGCGTAACGTCTGATTTGCAAATATGGGTAAGGAGATATTTACTAAAAATTATCTTTTTTAATCATCTTTTACACAAAACATCGACACAATACAGTTTAGCAACATTATTCTATTAATGTTGACTTTTTTATTGCAATAATTATTTCCTAGATTATCTTTTCGGAACGATCTGTGGTTTAACCTTAAATTTGAACGTTTTAATTTCGCTTTATTGTTTTACCTAGGTATAAGTAGAGATCACTGGCATAAAAGGCGTGCCACCGGTGGAAAACGGAAACCTTTAAGGAAGAAAAGGAAATTTGAGTTAGGTCGACCGGCTGCTAACACTAAGCTGGGCTCTAGAAGAATACATCATGTGAGAACTCGAGGTGGAAACATTAAGTATAGAGCTTTACGGTTAGATACAGGAAATTTTGCATGGGGTTCTGAAGGACAAGCACGCAAAACTCGTATTATTGACGTTGTTTACAATGCTAGTAATAATGAACTGGTGCGTACAAAAACCTTGGTAAAGAATGCTATTGTCACCATTGATGCCACACCATTTAGGCAGTGGTACGAAAGTCATTACGTTGTACCGTTGGGTCGCAAAAAAGGGGCGAAGTTGGTGAGTAAACATATATACCATTTATATGAATTCAGAATTATGATGAGTTCATGCGTGTCATATGAATTTTACCTATGATTACGATATTGATTGCCTGAACATTGAATTAAAAAAAAATAAAAAATGCAATTAATGTTGAATTAACCACTGAGAATTATTTGTAGTCAGAAGCAGAGGAAGCTGTTTTGAATAAAAAGCGTAGTAAAAAAGTTGCTAAGAAGTATGAAGTAAGACAGAAAACTGCTAAAGTAGAACCTGCATTAGAAGAACAATTTCAGACTGGACGTCTGTTAGGTAAGAAATGATAATTTTTAATGATTTTTCGTTTTATTGGAATTTTTATATGATGATATTTACAAGGGAGAATCTAATATTTACTTAATCGTTTTGATTTGTGCTGATTCAGTGATTTGCTTTGTCATAGTTACTCTGAAAAACAAGAAAAAATTAGCACTGCATTAATGAAATGTAATAACATTATAATTGTATTGTTTTTTCTTTTATCTAGCATGCTTGTCTTCAAGACCAGGTCAGTGTGGGCGTGCTGATGGTTATGTTTTAGAAGGAAAGGAGCTCGAGTTTTATATGAGAAAAATAAAATCCAAAAAAGCTAAATAAAATNGAAGCAATCGCGCTAACAGTTTCGAGCTTACCGTGACTGATAAGCGGGAAGAACTAGTTCAAATAAAAGTAAAAGCAGGATTTTAAGAATGACGGTTGCAAAATGCTCACCAGTTGCTTCTGTCCATTTTGTCCTTGCGTGGAGCTCCCTCAATGTCCCTCATGTTATTTTATAATATAACATTTTTCAACTGTAACTAACAACAAATTGGTAGAAGTTGAACTTGTGCAGGAACTTTACTAAATATAGCCGACAATACTCCGAAAAACATATGTAATTGGTTTAAACTTTTCACTTGATTAACATTTATGTATAATACTAGATAACGATTGTGTAAATGAGGAATAAATGCAAAATTTCACACAATTTTCTTTTAAATTGCACTGAAAAACGTAAACATCACCTAATGGACGTCACCTATTACATTAAACGATGCATAACTAAACGTCAAATAAGTTGTGTTCAATAATGCTAAAACTTTATCATTTACATTGTTTATATTTTTCCTCAAGTTTTTGAATAGTTTACAGCAAAATCATAAACTATGGCTAATAAAATACCACTGTGATATATATTTTGTCTTTATTGCTTGAATTAAGGTCAATATTTATGTTTGGATCATTTTAAAATAGATTCACATTCTTGATATCATCAAAATGAACGCACCTTAAATTCATGTCCAAGAAAAAAATAATAATAACACTAATTACAAAAGTAAACCGCGGGAAACGACCTTATGCAACTTATGCTCTCCTAATACAAAAACGCAAATTTTCGAAGTGCTCAACGCAAAATTTCATAATAATAATACTCTAGTTTATTCATTATTTCATTATAAGAACAAAGGCTTTCAACGCAGCACTACCACTGAAGATGTCAGCCGCAGTAGCCGACGAAACGTCTACACAGAATAGTTCACTTACACCACGGCCCTACAGCCCTAATCTTTATTCTACTATGGATCCAAAATCCAGCAGTAGTTGTTGCAGGAAATAAATAATTACAGATGTACCGAGTATAAATTATATACAACAAAAGAAGCAAGAACGTTCGTAACTGATGGTTAACGGAATGGATTGGTACTGCATGTAAAACTTTTGTTACTTTCCCCTGGGGATCGGTGAGACGACTACGATGTATTTAAATGTCTATGCACAACTGTACTTTTACTAATGTATAAATAAATACAATGCATAACAGAATAAAACACCTAATATTTTTAACATTTTTATTGAAGTAAAAACATAAAATACATAATTACTTTAATCGCTGCCTTGTCGTAAAACGCATTTCACGAAAAATGCAAACATTTTGTGAAACAGCCGATTAAACTAAAAGGCTGCTACATATACATTTCAAACAAAAACTAATCATTAAGGGAATAGATATGAATACATAAGCAATTAATTAAAAATAATATATAAAAACTATTAAATCTGATTGAAATATTATATTTTACTATTACCTTAGAGGCTACTACTCTGACCGAAATCTTGTAGAAGTAAGAGGTCTCTCAAAAGCATTTTTATTGTACGACAAATGTGTACATGATCATCTTCTTCGTTGTCGCCGACAACATCAAAGTATTGCATTTTCTTTTCTAAAACGTCAAGTCTAGCTTCGACCAGATTTTGACCGAAATTTATGTGATCGAGAAGATTCAAACGACACTCTGATGAATCAATTGCAGCTTCGGGCTGTGGTATTTTCACAGTGTCTAGATCNATTGGCTCTAAAATTCACACAATTTCACAATTGTTTCATATTTTACCCATAATTCACAATCGAATAACCGGAAGTTAACTGTACAATTGATTTAAACAAAATTTTGACTGTAAGCTCCTAATTAAATAATTTGTCAAAATGTGCACAGATGAAAGTTTAATTTAACTTTAAGTTTTCCCTTATATCGAAACTTTGTAGATATTTGCTATTGTATCAGTATTTGCCTTAAATATATCTTCATGTTAGGTATATTCTCTATTGTAAATCCCACATATTTATTACATGGCAAATCCACAATATAATCTCAAATACATACAAACCTATGAGAAAATTAATACTTCTTCACCACATTTCACTTAAACAACACAATAAAAACACTTAGTTTATAAAAGAAACACTTTTATTTAATTGTGTCTGTATTAATCAAACAAGCCAAGACCCATGTCATCATCCGACTCTTCAGATTCTTCTTTCTTTTCTTCTTTTTTAGCTTCTTCTTTCTTATTCTCCGTAGCAGCTGGAGCACTAACTACGGCAGCTTGTCCCACAGAAGTAGCTCCTACACTTGAACCAAGTTTGGTAATTAAATCTTTTATATTTATCCCTTCTAAAGCTTTTGCGAACAAGCCAGACCAATACGGCTCCACATCAACATTGGCTGCTTTTAAAATGGTTTGAATTTTCTCGCTCTAGAAAAACATATAACTTAAATATGAAACTGATTTAAAAACACAAAAGCTATTAAACGACTCAAAGTGCGATGGTTAATTGTGAGCGAGATAAATTTGAAAATGTGTATTTTTAACCTTACCGTGATTGCAACATCATCATCTGCTAATATTAAGGAAGAGTACACACATGCAAGTTCAGCAACAACAGCCATTGTTTCCTTAAAATATACTTTTTTGAATTTATAATAAACTAATTTTCTATTAACTGGACCTACCAAGTACCTCACAAGCCACTAATAACTACTTGAAGAACGCTCCCGGAATTGGAATACGACAAGTTAACAAAACACAGTTGACCATAACTTGGCACCATAGATAATAGGTTGATACCATAGATGATTGACACCGACTGACACCACTGATATGATTAGTGTGTCATAGATACGATCATAGTAGGTTAAAGAGAAATCACTGGAGGTCTGTCCCCACCTCGCGTAACCTAACTCCATGAATATAAATTTAAATAAATTTAATTTTTGAAGTTTTTAGAAGTTTTTTAAGTAACGAAGTTAGAATTTATGCTACAGACAAATAGGATGTGTTCCATGAGACTTACAGACAGATAAAACGAAAAGTAACAAATTCACGAAGTAAGGTTAAAAGGTTTCTTTATTGCCAGCAGTCGTTAAAATCACTTGTCAATTAATCTACGTATAATTTCATTAAATCGTAAGTCAGCTTGGGCGAGTACACCCACAAGTTTAACAACCTTGGGTCAATTCCATATGAAGTTCTATATGAAAATTGACAGCTTTTCTATAGGTGGAAATAATAATGTTATTATTATTATCATCTCTGTGATTTCTCTCTTTTAATTCGCGTAACGTCTGATTTGCAAATATGGGTAAGGAGATATTTACTAAAAATTATCTTTTTTAATCATCTTTTACACAAAACATCGACACAATACAGTTTAGCAACATTATTCTATTAATGTTGACTTTTTTATTGCAATAATTATTTCCTAGATTATCTTTTCGGAACGATCTGTGGTTTAACCTTAAATTTGAACGTTTTAATTTCGCTTTATTGTTTTACCTAGGTATAAGTAGAGATCACTGGCATAAAAGGCGTGCCACCGGTGGAAAACGGAAACCTTTAAGGAAGAAAAGGAAATTTGAGTTAGGTCGACCGGCTGCTAACACTAAGCTGGGCTCTAGAAGAATACATCATGTGAGAACTCGAGGTGGAAACATTAAGTATAGAGCTTTACGGTTAGATACAGGAAATTTTGCATGGGGTTCTGAAGGACAAGCACGCAAAACTCGTATTATTGACGTTGTTTACAATGCTAGTAATAATGAACTGGTGCGTACAAAAACCTTGGTAAAGAATGCTATTGTCACCATTGATGCCACACCATTTAGGCAGTGGTACGAAAGTCATTACGTTGTACCGTTGGGTCGCAAAAAAGGGGCGAAGTTGGTGAGTAAACATATATACCATTTATATGAATTCAGAAATATGATGAGTTCATGCGTGTCATATGAATTTTACCTATGATTACGATATTGATTGCCTGAACATTGAATTAAAAAAAAATAAAAAATGCAATTAATGTTGAATTAACCACTGAGAATTATTTGTAGTCAGAAGCAGAGGAAGCTGTTTTGAATAAAAAGCGTAGTAAAAAAGTTGCTAAGAAGTATGAAGTAAGACAGAAAACTGCTAAAGTAGAACCTGCATTAGAAGAACAATTTCAGACTGGACGTCTGTTAGGTAAGAAATGATAATTTTTAATGATTTTTCGTTTTATTGGAATTTTTATATGATGATATTTACAAGGGAGAATCTAATATTTACTTAATCGTTTTGATTTGTGCTGATTCAGTGATTTGCTTTGTCATAGTTACTCTGAAAAACAAGAAAAAATTAGCACTGCATTAATGAAATGTAATAACATTATAATTGTATTGTTTTTTCTTTTATCTAGCATGCTTGTCTTCAAGACCAGGTCAGTGTGGGCGTGCTGATGGTTATGTTTTAGAAGGAAAGGAGCTCGAGTTTTATATGAGAAAAATAAAATCCAAAAAAGCTAAATAAAATGTATGGGAAGTATGTTTTGTTTATTTCTATTCTTTTCTTGTGAATGATGTTGATATTAGGGGAAAATGTTTAGTCCCTATTTCTTTAAAATTGATTTCTTTTCTAAAAAGAGTAAGATTTAAGGAATATTTAAGTTCAATAATTAGGGTAAAAGGTTTCTTCTTAGTTGAAGTGAGTGCTACATAGGTTTTATTTTAACCATTGGTCTGTCATGCTGAGATGCTTTGTGCTTAACTACAAAATAGTATATTTTTCTGATCCTATGAAATTATCACAATAGAACAACAAATTTAGAGAAATGAAATTTCTATTCATTGTCAAGTCTTATATGAGACAACAAAATCGTTGTTTTGATTTATTTTCATTTATTAAACACATCCGAACGGCATCTGCAAATATTTCTCTTACTCCAAATCCAGTTTTTGCTGAACATTCTAGGTATGCTTTTGCTTGTATTTTCTTTTTTAAATATTTTCCCTCCTTTTCAGTCAAGCATATATTATTTGGATCGTCCCTGAGATCGATTTTTGTTGCTAAAATAATTTTAGTGTAATCAATAAATTATTGTAATTAGATTTTTTGTAAACGATTTATAAACAGTAAGAATTTGTCAAATATTTGTTTCCTCAGTCAGGCGATTTCATGAACATTTATGTTATACTATAGTTTTACTGAATATGAATTTTCATTCGGGCAGGTTGAGACGAATATTTGTAAGGCTTTCAAAAACGAACAATTACCTATTAGAATTATGGGAACGTGAGGCATGTAATGACGTACTTCAGGTACCCATTTATTACGTACGTTTTCGTAACTAGTTTCACTCGATACTGAGAAACAAACCAGGAAGCAGTTCGTCTAAAAAAATAATTGGTGAAAAATTTCCATTGAAATGTTTTTTTGTTTACATTTCCGTACACCAGGATAGGAAAGAGGTCGTAAACGTTGGTAATCTTCTTGTCCAGCTGTATCCCATAACTTTATACAGTAATCGTTTCCATCTACAGATATACTTTCGCTGTGATTATCGAAACTATAAAATATATTTCTTTAAATGCATTTACCGTCGTAATAATTAAAAATTCTTACACTGTTGGAACATATTCCTCTGGAAATTCGTTTCTTGTGTAAGAAATTAAGAGACAAGTTTTTCCAACCATACCATCACCGACCACGGTTATTTTAAAAGGTTTATTTTTTATTTCTTGATCTGGCATTGCTAAAATAAACGTGAAAAAAGTTGTACGTACCTATTGTATTTTTTTTTTAGTTTCATAAATTTTGTTTTTATAAATAAGTACCAGCATATTAGGTAATAATTAAGAATAATTAGTGAGCAACGTTATAATTCGCAAAACATTTTTAATATAATTCATATTATAATAATAATACAACTACTTATAAAAATAATGGTTCATTAATGTGGCAAGCACCTGACACTTACTTTGATTACTGATGAATGTTCTAAAAAGACTGCAATAGGTATGTTACATACATACATGTATAAATATTATTTTGTGTATTTTAATTACTTTAAACTGCTAAAATGATTTGGTGCAGTAACGAATATCCAATAACTATTATTTCTGTAAATAAATTATTACTACTCCATAATTGTACATGTAGATACTTCTACCAAAGGCGTGTATGTATTTCTAGATAAAGAAAATCACGTCATACATGTTATCATGCAATGCACACAAATATATATATATATTTATAGATATATTCCTACTTTATCTTTTGTTCATTTCAAATATTCGAAAAAGTATTTCAAATATCATTATTAATTTGCGATATATTCAAATAAATAATAATCTTTTCGTTCAAAACTGAATCGAAGCGCATATAATCTCTGTTAACCAACTATATAATGGAAAGTTTTGCATAAACATTTCGAATATAAAGGCTGTTCCTTCATCATTTCAGTATAAAAAAAAAGGCAGCAATTATTAAGAAAATATAATGAATAAGACAATTTTGCTTTTGTTAGTGTAATGATACTTTATTACAGTCCACATTAAAAAAATAATCGAACACGTGATGTGATGCACCCTTTGTACACAAATCATGTTAAAACGCCAATTTTATTTTACATTTACTGTTTATTGGATAAAAGCGTTATAGAACGGAAATCACATACCGTTATATTATTATTATTATCTGTGTGAACTGCATTATTTATTTATTAGAAAAATACAGAAATGACCCCAATACAAAATATTATTTTCACAAAAGTTGTACTATATATACATTATATATAAATATAAGAGAGTATAAAAAATAACGTAGTTGCACTTAATTGTAATGCGCAAATAGTTAAAATTCTAAAATACTAGTTTTTGGCAACAGTTGTTCCCACAGAAGCAACATAACTCTTAAGTTTAAGAATATTGGAAGCTCATTCCCTCCTCTACGCAATCTAAAAGAAACTGTTAAATACCGAGTACAGTTTATTGAGATTGGGAACATTTCTGAGACTGTACGTTTGTTCTCTGAAAAGAGACAGGTAATGTTGTCTTCGAAGCAGATTAATTTTGTTACTTTAAACATTAGTCAGGACTCGAGTTTATATAGGGATTTGATATCAGCTAGACCGAATCTGAGAGCTATGTCGCGGTAGATATGCGTGAACGGATGGAGAGGCGAGTCTGATTTAAATGGTAAAAATCTGAGAAACTTATATTGAATAGACTTTAATCTTACGATTAGTGTTAGGTATGAGTAGGTAGGAGACCAAATAGGTGAAGCGTAGAGTAAAATAGGGACGATTGGTGTTTTATAGAGACGAAATGAAAAATTATCGTTTTGGTCGCGTTATTTATTATTACAAATGCAACGACTTTCGTGTCAAACGATTCATAAAATTGAATAGGTATTCAAAGTAGTTTGAGGAAAAATGGTACATTAATTGTTTTGAACATTCAATTGTGTGAAACATTTGATAATGGATATCTACTTGTACCGAAATTATAGTTGCATTTATAACAATAAATAAGGTGATAAAAAAACAAAATACTTTTATTTCATATTATTATAATGGTAAATTATTGAAAAGTGGAGGTTTTTGTTGTAAAATAGTACGTAGGTAGTGGACATTATTAACTTATTATCATCCACATTGCAAAACTGTTTTAAAAGATGTTAACAGACGACCATCTAATTGTAAATTTTGTGAAAAGTAGTATAAGAGTCAGTACGGAGACGCGTTGGTGGCGTCAAACAGAAACGCTGTTATGTCGTTTATAAACATTCTAAATATAAATTTTGGCCTAGAAAACGCCCCTCCATAAAAATACTGTAATTATTTTCAAATTCAGCAAAAATACCATTTACTTGTGCTTTACCGTTTAAAAAGTGAAAATGTCAACTTCGTCACTCCAAAGACCGTCATTTTGGCCTATAAGATCGCAAAAAAAGGTACAGAAACGTTTACGCATTTATACTCAACTACTCTTGTTCTGATAGAATTAACTAATAATGATTAGGTACTACGTGATATGCTTCAAATTCTCAACTGAATATTGTTTCCCTATTAATTCATTTATTTATTGTACTCATCAACCATCTAATGGTAACTAAAAAAAACAGAGAGATAATTTCATTAATATACACACCTTTTTCATGAACGCTACATTTTCAATTAAACAACAACATATTGTAATATAATTGCATCATTTCAATGTACCTGACCTTCTCACTATTAGGCATCAAGATTTTACAAAATTTTTTGGTTCATTCTCATCTAAAATATATAAACGAATTTTACGCAGTTTTCATTCAAAACGTACAGTTTTGTTTGACTTGCTCTTTCACATTATATAATTAAACAAAATGTATCGATGTAATCTGCAAACACATAACTTTAACTGGATAGTTACCGTATGTTACATTTTTATTATTATACGATACGTATGTAAAGTTTTGTGTATGCATGTATTTTTACGTCAGATGAAGTTGTTCTATACATAATACATACCCGCATTTAAAATTCAACACCAGCTGACGATGAGTTTCGCTATTTTTAAAACTTGCATGCCAGTAGAGAAGCAGGGGTGGCAAACTCCCAACTGCACTATTTATTCAAATAAGTTGACTCTTTTATCCTTGCATTATTCTTTCTTAACAGTGCAAATTTCTCTTATCACTTGTACTTATTGTATATGTACATCATAATAGTGTGTCGTATTGTGATATACCGTTTTTCATTTTTCTTTTTTTAATCTTAATAGTTTTCAAAACCAACAATAAGTGAGAATAAAATAGAACAACTTAGAACTTATCTAACAATAACTAACTTGTAAACAATATACATACCTAAATTGTCATTTGTTTAAAATTTACAATAATATTATTGTGGTAGCTCTAGTAACACGAATATCGCAAAAAAAAAACATTCGACTGTGAACGAATTAATTATCCGTTTCATTGTTTTGAAAATTATTCGCTATTTATAAGAGGAAATTTGTAGGTCAAAAATAGTATTTTGATTATCCTGCACCTATCTATCTCGATATTCACTCACTTTTTGGCTTTAAAATACATAATTTATTTTTATTCTCATTATTTTCAAGACACGATCTACAAATACAAACTGTTTCATAAACATGGAATAAAAAGTATTAATTACCTATTCATTGATGTAGATACTTCTACCAAAGGCGTGTATGTATTTCTAGATAAAGAAAATCACGTCATACATGTTATCATGCAATGCACACAAATATATATATATATTTATAGATATATTCCTACTTTATCTTTTGTTCATTTCAAATATTCGAAAAAGTATTTCAAATATCATTATTAATTTGCGATATATTCAAATAAATAATAATCTTTTCGTTCAAAACTGAATCGAAGCGCATATAATCTCTGTTAACCAACTATATAATGGAAAGTTTTGCATAAACATTTCGAATATAAAGGCTGTTCCTTCATCATTTCAGTATAAAAAAAAAAGGCAGCAATTATTAAGAAAATATAATGAATAAGACAATTTTGCTTTTGTTAGTGTAATGATACTTTATTACAGTCCACATTAAAAAAATAATCGAACACGTGATGTGATGCACCCTTTGTACACAAATCATGTTAAAACGCCAATTTTATTTTACATTTACTGTTTATTGGATAAAAGCGTTATAGAACGGAAATCACATACCGTTATATTATTATTATTATCTGTGTGAACTGCATTATTTATTTATTAGAAAAATACAGAAATGACCCCAATACAAAATATTATTTTCACAAAAGTTGTACTATATATACATTATATATAAATATAAGAGAGTATAAAAAATAACGTAGTTGCACTTAATTGTAATGCGCAAATAGTTAAAATTCTAAAATACTAGTTTTTGGCAACAGTTGTTCCCACAGAAGCAACATAACTCTTAAGTTTAAGAATATTGGAAGCTCATTCCCTCCTCTACGCAATCTAAAAGAAACTGTTAAATACCGAGTACAGTTTATTGAGATTGGGAACATTTCTGAGACTGTACGTTTGTTCTCTGAAAAGAGACAGGTAATGTTGTCTTCGAAGCAGATTAATTTTGTTACTTTAAACATTAGTCAGGACTCGAGTTTATATAGGGATTTGATATCAGCTAGACCGAATCTGAGAGCTATGTCGCGGTAGATATGCGTGAACGGATGGAGAGGCGAGTCTGATTTAAATGGTAAAAATCTGAGAAACTTATATTGAATAGACTTTAATCTTACGATTAGTGTTAGGTATGAGTAGGTAGGAGACCAAATAGGTGAAGCGTAGAGTAAAATAGGGACGATTGGTGTTTTATAGAGACGAAATGAAAAATTATCGTTTTGGTCGCGTTATTTATTATTACAAATGCAACGACTTTCGTGTCAAACGATTCATAAAATTGAATAGGTATTCAAAGTAGTTTGAGGAAAAATGGTACATTAATTGTTTTGAACATTCAATTGTGTGAAACATTTGATAATGGATATCTACTTGTACCGAAATTATAGTTGCATTTATAACAATAAATAAGGTGATAAAAAAACAAAATACTTTTATTTCATATTATTATAATGGTAAATTATTGAAAAGTGGAGGTTTTTGTTGTAAAATAGTACGTAGGTAGTGGACATTATTAACTTATTATCATCCACATTGCAAAACTGTTTTAAAAGATGTTAACAGACGACCATCTAATTGTAAATTTTGTGAAAAGTAGTATAAGAGTCAGTACGGAGACGCGTTGGTGGCGTCAAACAGAAACGCTGTTATGTCGTTTATAAACATTCTAAATATAAATTTTGGCCTAGAAAACGCCCCTCCATAAAAATACTGTAATTATTTTCAAATTCAGCAAAAATACCATTTACTTGTGCTTTACCGTTTAAAAAGTGAAAATGTCAACTTCGTCACTCCAAAGACCGTCATTTTGGCCTATAAGATCGCAAAAAAAGGTACAGAAACGTTTACGCATTTATACTCAACTACTCTTGTTCTGATAGAATTAACTAATAATGATTAGGTACTACGTGATATGCTTCAAATTCTCAACTGAATATTGTTTCCCTATTAATTCATTTATTTATTGTACTCATCAACCATCTAATGGTAACTAAAAAAAACAGAGAGATAATTTCATTAATATACACACCTTTTTCATGAACGCTACATTTTCAATTAAACAACAACATATTGTAATATAATTGCATCATTTCAATGTACCTGACCTTCTCACTATTAGGCATCAAGATTTTACAAAATTTTTTGGTTCATTCTCATCTAAAATATATAAACGAATTTTACGCAGTTTTCATTCAAAACGTACAGTTTTGTTTGACTTGCTCTTTCACATTATATAATTAAACAAAATGTATCGATGTAATCTGCAAACACATAACTTTAACTGGATAGTTACCGTATGTTACATTTTTATTATTATACGATACGTATGTAAAGTTTTGTGTATGCATGTATTTTTACGTCAGATGAAGTTGTTCTATACATAATACATACCCGCATTTAAAATTCAACACCAGCTGACGATGAGTTTCGCTATTTTTAAAACTTGCATGCCAGTAGAGAAGCAGGGGTGGCAAACTCCCAACTGCACTATTTATTCAAATAAGTTGACTCTTTTATCCTTGCATTATTCTTTCTTAACAGTGCAAATTTCTCTTATCACTTGTACTTATTGTATATGTACATCATAATAGTGTGTCGTATTGTGATATACCGTTTTTCATTTTTCTTTTTTTAATCTTAATAGTTTTCAAAACCAACAATAAGTGAGAATAAAATAGAACAACTTAGAACTTATCTAACAATAACTAACTTGTAAACAATATACATACCTAAATTGTCATTTGTTTAAAATTTACAATAATATTATTGTGGTAGCTCTAGTAACACGAATATCGCAAAAAAAAAACATTCGACTGTGAACGAATTAATTATCCGTTTCATTGTTTTGAAAATTATTCGCTATTTATAAGAGGAAATTTGTAGGTCAAAAATAGTATTTTGATTATCCTGCACCTATCTATCTCGATATTCACTCACTTTTTGGCTTTAAAATACATAATTTATTTTTATTCTCATTATTTTCAAGACACGATCTACAAATACAAACTGTTTCATAAACATGGAATAAAAAGTATTAATTACCTATTCATTGATTAACTTAAATAATATAAATAACGTTGTTGTAATAAAATAATATGGGTAGAAGGCGACGTGAATTTTTAATTACCCTGAAAAGAGAAAATGCATCTATTCCTTGGGGTTTTAGTGTTATCGGTGGAGCTGACGTTAACGCGCCGATTACAGTAACTCGAGTAAGTATGTAATAAAAAAGAATATTTTATTATTGATAGAATATTAATGTAATAAAATAGTTAACGGAGAAAACAGGTGCAAGGTCATAATATAAAGTCCTTTGTCATATTTTTAACAACAAAAATACTCATTTAAGCATTAATAATATAATGTAATTTCGTAATCAACTTTTTGTTTAGTTTAATAAAAAGTTGTTTATTAGGTTGGATTTGGAACGCCAGCAGCGAATCATTTGCAAAGGGGTGACATAATAACGAAAATAAATAATTATGATTCTCGCGACATCAGACAACAGGACGCACGGAATTTGTTCAGAAATTCGGATAACGAAATAAAAGTTGCCGTTCAGAGGTGAGTGCTGTTACAACCTTTTTTTACACTTTTATGTTAAACATTTTGTCATTAATTCACAGAGAACATCATCCTTATTACGGAAGTGGCGATTCTTCTTTACACAGTTCTAGAACGTACAGTCCTTTGCCAGCTTCTCCCCACTTATCCCCAAAAAGCGGAAGCGATTATATGAGAGGAGGAACAGCCCTAACCCCTACGCAAGGAGCGCCGTTTGAAGAAATGATTGAATACGACATGCAATTTCTGCCTAACGGTAGAAACGCGCTGAAACATAATCGACACAACTTGGATGTCCACGTAGACAGACAGGTGAACTGGATTTTATTAATCAATGTTCTAAATTATTCTAATGTAAAATTAAAACTCTACTCGTGATGTCCTTGACAATTGTTTCGCCACTTTGTACCTTCTTTAGAATTTACAGAATTATCTGCTAACAAGTAGTTTCTAACAAAACAATTTCAATTTCAATTTTTTATTTATTAACAGTCAGAGATTTTATTTCTGAATCGTCAATAAGTTTAATTATTTTTTGCATTAAATGGCACTCAGTTAACACAGGCCGTGTATAAATATGTTGTATTTTAAAACACCCAAATTTAGATTCTTGATTTTAAACTTGACAACTAACGTCAAATAGGTACTTAGTTATTGCATGATTACATAATGTACGAAATAATTAAAAAAAATATATAAATAAACCGTATTTAAATTTTGCTGGTGCTAAATTTTGCAAAGTATTTACCAACGTTTTAGGTTTGAGATTATTTTTAGAAATCTAAATGTAGGTCTGGTACAATCGCTCGTTATTTTCGCAAATAAATCCAAGCAACATATAATATAAATTAAACTGATTTGTTCGCTTTTTAAATATGATTTTAGAAACGGAATAATATGCTTAAAAAATAAAAACAATAATTAATAAAGATATGAATGTGTTAATGTATGTAACACGTCTCTGTTAAACTGAAACAGATCCTAACATACCTGCTATTATTAAAATATAAATAATGCATTAATATACCCATCAGTAGATAAAAATTTCCATTTTCAGCCTTATCGTACTACGCCACTTGTTCTTCCTGGTGCAAAGATAAAACGTGAACAGGCCCCGACCGAATCCTATTTGCGTCATCATCCTAATCCATCTGTAAGAGCCCCTCCAATGCACCTAGAAACTGAAAATATTTTGAAAAAAAAGGTAAGTAACCTTTTCGTTATTTAAATAATGTACAATTTACTTTTTTTATTGTGTTATCGGTCTGCACAAAATTTATACGTGAGTAATCGATATGAATTATAACGATTAAAAAAATTGCTTGTTTGCGCAAAATGGTATGTTAGAAACAAGTTATTCAGAATGCTAATTTGTATTTTTATAGGTAGCAGATTCGGTTTTGCAGAAAATAATTCCGGACGAAGAAAGAGGCAAGGTAAAGTATTAAAAAATATTACGTATTAAAATTTAGGGGGTGAAAAGTGAACACGGCGAACGATATTAAGTCATTCACTCTCTTCTAATTAATTTATTGTCTTGTTTAAATCGAACCGGTTATTTGTTAATACGTATTACAAGTTTCTTTTCTTTTTTATCTTTTAATTGTAAGATTTTCTTCAGGCACTTGATTTATAAAACTCCACATTGTAATATTATGAATAAAAAACTGAACAGTATATAGGATGTACGCTTGATGTTTTTTATTCATAATGTACTGTAACTTTCCTTAATATCCTTATTATCAGTTTGCTACGATTCTAGTGGACAAAAATAAACTTGTAGGGTACTTAACTATTTCTAATATCGCCAAGATTGTGTTTTAATATTTATTTTTTCACTTCGATATTGACACATTGATATATTTGTTAAACAATACTACTTTTGCATTTTCTAATGTTTCATATTACTTTACAAATATACAAATTTTCATGTACTCTTTTGAAATACATGTTCTTTTAGATAGTTCACAAGCAGTTTAATTCACCAATAGGCCTCTACAGTGAATCGGCAATTGCGGACACGATTCAAAAACAAACAGGCCTTCCGGCGTAAGTGTACCTGTACTTAACTGCAAGAAAAGTATGTGCTCATATTCAAAAATTTTTTGTGTTATAGGAGGAGAAGAGCGGTTAAATATGATCCCACGAAAAGTGAAATTTACAAGGCAATTCAAGAGGAACAACTTGGCGACAAATACCAGGAAGTGACTGTACCTCCGCATTCAAAAATATATATTCCGAATAAGGTTGATATACCGAAGGTAATTTAAAAAGTGATTCGAGGTTTTATTTGTTTTTATCTGGTGTCTGGTATATGTACAATACTTTTGACTTTTCAGAAACATAATATCGGTCAGAAACACAACGACTTAAATCAACTAGGTGTACCTGAGGAAAGGATTATACAAAGTAACTCTTTTAGAAGGTTGATGCTAAGCGTTTTGCCCGAATCAGATTTTTAACAGTTTCTCGTACTATTTGAATATTTAACAGAAATATATAGATTTATACGTGTACATAATAATATATCAATCAACCGATGCATATGTAATAAGTATGTAATTCTACGTATAAGATATTATTTTCTTCGATACTATTTTGTGATACTGCACCTATTTAACACATTATCGTATAATATATATATACATGTCCGTTTTAATTGGAGACTACACCAGACAATCTATATATACCTACACATTTAGGTATATTTATTAAGTTATACATTTTACCGATTTTGATCAGAAATAATGAAAAAGACAGCTTACATTTAGTAACTTAATAAATTGTTTATAGTTAACAATAATAATGCTATTCTGTTCTGTACTTCTGCAAATTATTCGTACAATAAGAAAGCAATAAAGGCGGAATGTTTCCTGTAAATTGTACCTACATACATATTATAAAATAAATTATTACATTAAGAACGAACATGATTACACTTACGATTATTGTTTAATGTTTTTGTTCCAGTAATTTTATTTACATATGTAGTAATCCCTATTTTAATTTAAATGAATTTACCCTATAGTTTACCAATTTTTAGTGAATAATGAATAGATGAACATTTTCAATTGTTAGAAGATGCCATTTTTTGAATTAGAGACAATTACAGTCGTGTGAATCTGGCGCCCGATATAACTAATCCAGAAACTAAAACATAACCAACAAATTGTTCCTCATTTGCTGGGTCTAAGTATGTAAGTATCATAATTGGGCGTCCATTATTTGTGTTTAAAAAAAAGAAAATTGTTTGGGGTGCAGTTGGAAATTAAATGTCAATTTTTTCAAAAACTACTGAAGATATGTTAATTTAATTGACGCCAAATGATTGCGTGTCATTTGTGCTTGAAGACTGGACTATTAAGATGAGCGGAATTATTTTTATATTATTTATTAGTTATAATTATGATATTAAAATTTTCAATGGCATTAGTATGATTATATTATTATCTATGATTTACAAATGGTGAACGCGTATTAGTGATATCAATGAAAAATAGTAGTATTTGTCTATGTATTATATGCAATATAAACTCCGCCTACGATATTAGATCAGTTTTCAAGCACAGATGATACGCAATCAATTGGTGTCAATTAAATTGTCATATATTCAGTAATTTTTGAATAAATTGGTATTTAATTTCCACCTGCACCGACAACAATTTTCTTTTCTTCTTAACATAATTAATGGACGCCCAATTATGATACTTACGTATTTAAAACCAGCAAACAACACACAATTTATTGGTAAAATTTAAAACAGAGGATTATTTATATCGGGAGCCAGAGATTCACACGATTGAAAAACATATATTATCTTTCATCTATGGTTCGTCTGACGAGAGAAGTTATAATCTATGGAAATTGTCATGATAGTATCTGTGGAGTATTTTGTTAACCTAGTCTATGTATTAACCTCACTCTTTCGACAGCGTAGCCGCATAAGTGAAAGATAATTAATTAAATCATGTTAATTTATGGAAATCGACTATTCTTAGGCATTCAGAACCTTCTCCTCCTAACCAAAGTAAATTTTTATCAATTACTGTTTTAGAATCTGAATCTTTTTAAACGCATTATAACAGTTTCAGCAAGAAAGAACAAAATATGTTGGAGCCCGTATGATAAGAGATGTGAAACGTCGAAACATAGTAAAGGAATATGCTCCTACTCGTCTTCGAATTAATTCACTGCGAAAAAATGATATCTTACCAGCAGAACTTCAATGCATTGCAGATGAGGAGATCGGAAATCTTCCTAGAGATTCTGCAGTTTTACGGCTTCAAGGGCGATGTGTTGTAACTTCTAGGCCGCGAGGCGTTGCACATCGATGGAGGTTAAGTCGAATAGTTTTTCGTGATTTAGCTGACCACAATAAATTGTCTGGAATACAAAGAGCAATGTGGTAATTAAATAAATGTTTAACGGTATAGAAATATAACAACATAATAAGAATTTTCCTGGTTTTATTGCTTTGACTCATATAATTGATTCTATGACATTTCTGCTACATTTGCAGCGTAATGTGTAATAAATCTAGCTGATGGATCATTTACATTTATCCATTTTGGCATCCAAAAGTAAGGAATGAGTGTGTTTGCCAAAGATGGATAATGTTTTTCAAAAACAGTCCTGTAATAAAATGATTCCTTCGTTTTAGGTGTGCAATGTGGGAACATTTCTGCAGCTTTTATTTCATCAAATTTTTCTGGCATTCGTTTATCTACGATTTCTGCAAGTATTGTAAATAGAGATTTCTTTTCTGAGGCGACTCCATCACTAAAATGATCGACATTAAAATATTAACACTATTTCGTTTTCTAAATTATTTTACCTAAAAGCTTCCTTATGACGCCAAAGAATTTTCGAAGGAAGCAAACTTGTTTCATCAAATGCAGAACGTATTAGAAATTTTTCAATTTTTCCGTCTTTTGGCTGTCTAATTTCCTCAGGTAAATTTAAAATATAACTACTAAATTGCAGATCCAAGAATGGAACCCTCAGTTCTAAACTAAGAATTACGTCGTTTACTAAATTATAAAAAGTTAATTATTCGGTCAACTTTAAACTATTATAATTTTAATGATGCTGTAATATAAGCATTAACCATTATTTAGGAAGAAATAAAATGACACAAAGAAGTAAAAATGTTTACCTATTAGCCGATGTAGTTCTATCAGCTCTTAATCCATCAAACAAGTAGATGTCCTTTAGTAGTCTGATACTTTCATTATGAGCCGACGTCGGGTCCGGCGCGTCCCTAAAATAAATATAGCCCTGAGCTAATTCGTCCGCACCTTCACCACTGATCAATACTGTGGTATCCGTTTGTTCTAAGATATACTTAGAAACCAAATACATTCCTATAGATGCTCTAACAGTTGTGATATCAGGAGTTTCTAAGTAATATATGACATCGTCTAAAACCGCTTCAACATCTTCTTCCGTGAAAATTACTTCGTGGTGTTCTGTACCGATATATTCTGCAACTTCCCTGGCTGCGATTAAGTCTGGACTATCGCTCATTCCTACCGAGAACGACTGCAAATAAAATGCTTAATTCAATGCATGTATAAATTTAATTTCTGGTAATAAATTCCAATTCAAAATTCAAATTTTAATTCAATTTTAAGTGCAGGCTAAATTGCCTCCAGAGACATTTGCATTGATGGTTGTAATTAATCAAAAAAAAAAATACGAAGTGCATAGCACATACTTGTATTTTGTACGGTATTTTGGCTTTGTTTGTTTCTGCTACAAGGAGTGCTGCAAGTAGTGACGAATCTAAACCACCTGAAAGCAAGCAACCAATTCTACGATCGGCCATAAGTCGCTTTTTGACTGCCATTGTCAATAAATTTCTTACATTTGCATATACATCTTTAGTAAAATCTACAAAACAACATTAGTTTCTGATAAGTTCAATTACTTAATCAATTAACAGTAAATATGGAACAATAAAGCAAAAAATGAAACCTCTGTAGGATAGAAATGGTTTGAAAACAGGCGTGTCAGTTGGTTTGTGGAAACGTTGACTATTAAGAAACTTCACTGTACCATTCTCCATTAGTTTATATTCTTCGAATGTGCCTGGAGAAAATGGTTCTAATATTTTATTAGCTTCATTAAGTTCTTTATATAGGTTCACTAAACCTGCAAACCAAACACTGTTACATTTTGGAAAAGTTTGTGCAAGTATTTTTCTTGTATTTCTCTTAAAAATCATTAATTTTTGCAGTAAAAATATGAATAACAATTCTGTTCTTTTGACTCACCTTTAGCTTCAGATGATATACCTAACACTTTATTTGCACCAGTCACTTTAAACAATGGTCGAACACCATATGGATCTCTTGCTATATAAACAGCTTGTTTCTTCACATCGACAATACAAAATGCAAAGACTCCATCTAAATTTTTCACGCATTTTTCTATACCGTACTTGTTGTACAGATGCAAAATGCATTCAACATCATTATTTGTTTCATACACAAAATTTTCTTCCTTAGCTAGCTAAAATTTAATTATATTATATAAATTGCATTGTTTAGTTTGGTTTATAAATAAATAAGATATTTATATACCTACCTTTTTACAGTTGTACAGTTCTCCGTTACAAATAAGAACTTGAAAAGGATAAGCATGTAATTTCATAGGTTGCATACCATGTAGTGTATCGACAATTGTTAATCGATGGAAACCAATAGTCGCATCCTAACAAAAATCTATTAAATATTTTCAAATAATAGGAATGCACAATCTTGAAAGTAGAATTATAAATTACCTTTACTCTCCTATCACACTCTAATCTCCATGCATCAGGGCCTCGTTTACTAATTTTTGTAAAAGATGCTAAAAAGCATTCTTTCAAGTCACACTGAATGCCAAAAACCGCCCAAATTCCACACATGATTTCAAAATTTAGCTTTTTATAAACTTACTACAAAAAAGAACTGCTCGAAATGTACTATATTCAAGTTATGCGACTTTACGTAAAAGGGTAAACGCAACGTTAAAATGCAAGCGCGTGGTGCCAACGTGTTTGTAGACTTTATCGCCAGCCATAGCATTTATCGCAAAATCTAAAAATACGGAATGTGTAAAATTCACAATTAATTAATAATACTTAATAATTATAGCTATAGTAGATAAGTATGGTGTTTTCAATGTTATGCTTATGCAACCAACTTATCGTATAGGTGCAAATCTTACATACTCAAAGTAATAGAATGTTATAAAAACTAGTTTGATTTTGGTAATTTTTCATAATAAAAAGAATTAATAGTAACAGGAATAAACGGGAAGGCACCACAATAGAGACAATGACAAATAACAAGTTCTTTGTTTATAAACAATATTTTAGTGATTTAACATATCATTAATGAATTGTTCCCAAAACCGTGCCTCTTTTTCCTTAAATGTTTCAAGCCTGGTATGTGCTGGCTGATATGTTTCCACCACGCCCAGTCCAATTTGTATGAATAAATTTACCCTCCTGTCCGAGTAACTCATATGTGTGAGCTCCAAAATAATCTCTTTGTGCTTGTAGTAAATTGGCAGGAAGACGTTTCGATCTGTATCCATCATAAAATGCAAGAGCAGTGCTCAGTGCAGGAGTAGGAACACCTGTAACAAAAATAGAAGGGTCGATTTCATTTCAATTTGGAAGCACTAAGATAGGAATGTCTCGGATTTACCAATATTTACTGCAGTTGATACAACATTTCTCCATCCACTTTGTGCTTTAGTAATGGCTTCTTTGAAGAAGGGGGCAAACAAGAGGTTCTTCAGTGTAGGGTCTTTGCTAAAAGCGGTTTTAATCTGTCCCAAGAATACTGATCTAATAATACAACCCCCTCTCCACATCAAAGCAATGGAACCATAATCTAAAGACCAATTATACATTTTCGCTGCTTCCCGCAATAACATGAATCCTTGGGCATATGAAACTATTTTGCTTGCATACAACGCCTGAAATATTTTAAATTTTATAAATTTATAATGGAATTTCGGTAATTTCAATGTCAAAAAACAGAAAAAATTGAACATGTAGCTGAGCAGATAGGACTGTGTAAAACTAACATTTCTGGTAAAACTATATCAAAATCAATATTAGTTTTATTTTTTTTTGAGTGTTCTGTTTATTTAAAGAAATAAATCGAATTCTATTTTAATAAATAAATCGAATTACTCAAGTTCATTATTAAGATAAAATTTAAATTTTAACAGGTAAGTTTTTAACCTGACGACAATCCTCCAAGAATTTAAGCTTGTCACCGCTGAACTTAGTCGTAGGTCCAGGAAGTTGAGCACTGGCGGTTTGTCTTTCATCAATTAAAGCAGATAGACATCGACTAAAGACGGCTTCCCCAATAAGAGTCACGGGAACTCCATAATTTAATGCAGCAATTGCTGTCCATTTTCCTGTTCCTTTTTGACCAGCTGCATCTCTTATTTTTGGGAGAAGATATTTACCTAAATTAAACTTAATTAACAACATATTTTTAAATAGTTGATACATTTACCATCAGCATCTTTGAATTTTAATATATCCTTGGTGATTTCTATCAAAAAACTGTCTAATTCTCCTTTATTCCATTCTTCAAAAATGTAGGCCATTTCAGACTGATCGAGTCCAATTGCCAACATCAAATGGTATATTTCGCCTATCAATTGCATATCACCATATTCAATACCATTATGAACCATTTTAACAAAGTGTCCTGCACCATCAGACCCTACCCAGTGGCAGCATGGTTGTCCATCAACTTTAGCGGCAATACTTTGAAATATTGATTTGATATGAGGCCATGCTTCTGAATGACCACCAGGCATCAAGCTGGGTCCATAACGTGCTCCATCTTCGCCTCCTGACACACCTGCTCCAACAAATCTTAAGCCCTTTTCTTCCAATTCCTTGCAACGTCTTTGGGTATCTGTATACTCAGAATTTCCTCCATCGATCACGATATCGCCCTTGCTCAAGTATGGAAGTAATTGATCAATAAAAGCATCGACTGCATTTCCTGCTTTCACAAGAAGCATAATTCGTCTTGGTGCCTTTAATTTAGACACAAGATCTTCAATTGATACTGCACCAATGATGCTCTTTCCTTTAGCTTCATTTGAGAGAAACGCGTGTACCTTTTCCACAGTTCTATTATAAGCAACTACAGTAAAACCATGGTCGGCCATGTTCAAAATTAAATTTTGTCCCATTACAGCTAAACCAATTAATCCGATATCTCCCTTTCTAAAAAAAATTATTATGTAATTGTGGGTTAACTAATAAATACTTTTTAGTTAGTATTTTGAAAAAGATGAACCATATATTATATTTAACAGTGCAAAAAAAAAAAGAAAACCACTTCAGAATATAAACTTACCATACTTATTTTGCAGTAAAACATACTTTCTTTGTAATTATTTTAACATTTGAATCAATTTGAGTAGCACTATAAAAACATCAAATAAAATCGAAAATTACTTAATATCCCTAGTAATTGAAAGGAAATGACAAGTGAATTTTGTAATAAATATAAACACCAAATAGGCGATTAAATTTTAAATTAATATAACTTACTTTTCGGCCATTTTTTGTGTATTATTCTGGATTTTATTAACAACTACGAGGTACGGGATTATACTTGTTGAATATATGTAAATGTGCTCCAACTACAATTCCATTGCATATTCCAAAGTCACATTGAGACTTGAAGGTCAGCATCAACGTCTCGTTCCATTTATCTACTATGTTTCGTTACGATAAAATGATTACCAAGGAATACTGTTATTCGCTAATCATTTTTAACTGAATTTTGTTATTGGTATATTGGTTTTTGCCAAGGACTTTGTACATGCCATGGTGCCACGACCATGTACACGTACACATCCCCTCCTAAAGTTGTACGAATGTACCACACATAGGTACCACGTTTCTTATCAATAAAAACAAATAGAAAACCCTTACATGTCCTTACTCTATTGTAAACCTATGACATGTCAGAAACCAGAAGAGCACTTACTTAGCTGTAGCAGTGCTGCACAACTTTTGTAATGTATGACCATGTATATAACCATGGTATAACAGTATAACTATACTTAACTTATTAGGTCAGGCCTTAATACTTGATTACTCAGAAAAAGAAAAAGAAAGTTGTACATATGAAGGTGTAGGACAAAATAAAAACAATATCATTAAAATAGTTTCGAAATGTTTTATGATAGGACAAGTAGGGGATAGAAAAAATTCATGGAAATAATTAACAACTATTAATCGTTTGCAAATATNTTGAAAATTATTCGCTATTTATAAGAGGAAATTTGTAGGTCAAAAATAGTATTTTGATTATCCTGCACCTATCTATCTCGATATTCACTCACTTTTTGGCTTTAAAATACATAATTTATTTTTATTCTCATTATTTTCAAGACACGATCTACAAATACAAACTGTTTCATAAACATGGAATAAAAAGTATTAATTACCTATTCATTGATTAACTTAAATAATATAAATAACGTTGTTGTAATAAAATAATATGGGTAGAAGGCGACGTGAATTTTTAATTACCCTGAAAAGAGAAAATGCATCTATTCCTTGGGGTTTTAGTGTTATCGGTGGAGCTGACGTTAACGCGCCGATTACAGTAACTCGAGTAAGTATGTAATAAAAAAGAATATTTTATTATTGATAGAATATTAATGTAATAAAATAGTTAACGGAGAAAACAGGTGCAAGGTCATAATATAAAGTCCTTTGTCATATTTTTAACAACAAAAATACTCATTTAAGCATTAATAATATAATGTAATTTCGTAATCAACTTTTTGTTTAGTTTAATAAAAAGTTGTTTATTAGGTTGGATTTGGAACGCCAGCAGCGAATCATTTGCAAAGGGGTGACATAATAACGAAAATAAATAATTATGATTCTCGCGACATCAGACAACAGGACGCACGGAATTTGTTCAGAAATTCGGATAACGAAATAAAAGTTGCCGTTCAGAGGTGAGTGCTGTTACAACCTTTTTTTACACTTTTATGTTAAACATTTTGTCATTAATTCACAGAGAACATCATCCTTATTACGGAAGTGGCGATTCTTCTTTACACAGTTCTAGAACGTACAGTCCTTTGCCAGCTTCTCCCCACTTATCCCCAAAAAGCGGAAGCGATTATATGAGAGGAGGAACAGCCCTAACCCCTACGCAAGGAGCGCCGTTTGAAGAAATGATTGAATACGACATGCAATTTCTGCCTAACGGTAGAAACGCGCTGAAACATAATCGACACAACTTGGATGTCCACGTAGACAGACAGGTGAACTGGATTTTATTAATCAATGTTCTAAATTATTCTAATGTAAAATTAAAACTCTACTCGTGATGTCCTTGACAATTGTTTCGCCACTTTGTACCTTCTTTAGAATTTACAGAATTATCTGCTAACAAGTAGTTTCTAACAAAACAATTTCAATTTCAATTTTTTATTTATTAACAGTCAGAGATTTTATTTCTGAATCGTCAATAAGTTTAATTATTTTTTGCATTAAATGGCACTCAGTTAACACAGGCCGTGTATAAATATGTTGTATTTTAAAACACCCAAATTTAGATTCTTGATTTTAAACTTGACAACTAACGTCAAATAGGTACTTAGTTATTGCATGATTACATAATGTACGAAATAATTAAAAAAAATATATAAATAAACCGTATTTAAATTTTGCTGGTGCTAAATTTTGCAAAGTATTTACCAACGTTTTAGGTTTGAGATTATTTTTAGAAATCTAAATGTAGGTCTGGTACAATCGCTCGTTATTTTCGCAAATAAATCCAAGCAACATATAATATAAATTAAACTGATTTGTTCGCTTTTTAAATATGATTTTAGAAACGGAATAATATGCTTAAAAAATAAAAACAATAATTAATAAAGATATGAATGTGTTAATGTATGTAACACGTCTCTGTTAAACTGAAACAGATCCTAACATACCTGCTATTATTAAAATATAAATAATGCATTAATATACCCATCAGTAGATAAAAATTTCCATTTTCAGCCTTATCGTACTACGCCACTTGTTCTTCCTGGTGCAAAGATAAAACGTGAACAGGCCCCGACCGAATCCTATTTGCGTCATCATCCTAATCCATCTGTAAGAGCCCCTCCAATGCACCTAGAAACTGAAAATATTTTGAAAAAAAAGGTAAGTAACCTTTTCGTTATTTAAATAATGTACAATTTACTTTTTTTATTGTGTTATCGGTCTGCACAAAATTTATACGTGAGTAATCGATATGAATTATAACGATTAAAAAAATTGCTTGTTTGCGCAAAATGGTATGTTAGAAACAAGTTATTCAGAATGCTAATTTGTATTTTTATAGGTAGCAGATTCGGTTTTGCAGAAAATAATTCCGGACGAAGAAAGAGGCAAGGTAAAGTATTAAAAAATATTACGTATTAAAATTTAGGGGGTGAAAAGTGAACACGGCGAACGATATTAAGTCATTCACTCTCTTCTAATTAATTTATTGTCTTGTTTAAATCGAACCGGTTATTTGTTAATACGTATTACAAGTTTCTTTTCTTTTTTATCTTTTAATTGTAAGATTTTCTTCAGGCACTTGATTTATAAAACTCCACATTGTAATATTATGAATAAAAAACTGAACAGTATATAGGATGTACGCTTGATGTTTTTTATTCATAATGTACTGTAACTTTCCTTAATATCCTTATTATCAGTTTGCTACGATTCTAGTGGACAAAAATAAACTTGTAGGGTACTTAACTATTTCTAATATCGCCAAGATTGTGTTTTAATATTTATTTTTTCACTTCGATATTGACACATTGATATATTTGTTAAACAATACTACTTTTGCATTTTCTAATGTTTCATATTACTTTACAAATATACAAATTTTCATGTACTCTTTTGAAATACATGTTCTTTTAGATAGTTCACAAGCAGTTTAATTCACCAATAGGCCTCTACAGTGAATCGGCAATTGCGGACACGATTCAAAAACAAACAGGCCTTCCGGCGTAAGTGTACCTGTACTTAACTGCAAGAAAAGTATGTGCTCATATTCAAAAATTTTTTGTGTTATAGGAGGAGAAGAGCGGTTAAATATGATCCCACGAAAAGTGAAATTTACAAGGCAATTCAAGAGGAACAACTTGGCGACAAATACCAGGAAGTGACTGTACCTCCGCATTCAAAAATATATATTCCGAATAAGGTTGATATACCGAAGGTAATTTAAAAAGTGATTCGAGGTTTTATTTGTTTTTATCTGGTGTCTGGTATATGTACAATACTTTTGACTTTTCAGAAACATAATATCGGTCAGAAACACAACGACTTAAATCAACTAGGTGTACCTGAGGAAAGGATTATACAAAGTAACTCTTTTAGAAGGTTGATGCTAAGCGTTTTGCCCGAATCAGATTTTTAACAGTTTCTCGTACTATTTGAATATTTAACAGAAATATATAGATTTATACGTGTACATAATAATATATCAATCAACCGATGCATATGTAATAAGTATGTAATTCTACGTATAAGATATTATTTTCTTCGATACTATTTTGTGATACTGCACCTATTTAACACATTATCGTATAATATATATATACATGTCCGTTTTAATTGGAGACTACACCAGACAATCTATATATACCTACACATTTAGGTATATTTATTAAGTTATACATTTTACCGATTTTGATCAGAAATAATGAAAAAGACAGCTTACATTTAGTAACTTAATAAATTGTTTATAGTTAACAATAATAATGCTATTCTGTTCTGTACTTCTGCAAATTATTCGTACAATAAGAAAGCAATAAAGGCGGAATGTTTCCTGTAAATTGTACCTACATACATATTATAAAATAAATTATTACATTAAGAACGAACATGATTACACTTACGATTATTGTTTAATGTTTTTGTTCCAGTAATTTTATTTACATATGTAGTAATCCCTATTTTAATTTAAATGAATTTACCCTATAGTTTACCAATTTTTAGTGAATAATGAATAGATGAACATTTTCAATTGTTAGAAGATGCCATTTTTTGAATTAGAGACAATTACAGTCGTGTGAATCTGGCGCCCGATATAACTAATCCAGAAACTAAAACATAACCAACAAATTGTTCCTCATTTGCTGGGTCTAAGTATGTAAGTATCATAATTGGGCGTCCATTATTTGTGTTTAAAAAAAAGAAAATTGTTTGGGGTGCAGTTGGAAATTAAATGTCAATTTTTTCAAAAACTACTGAAGATATGTTAATTTAATTGACGCCAAATGATTGCGTGTCATTTGTGCTTGAAGACTGGACTATTAAGATGAGCGGAATTATTTTTATATTATTTATTAGTTATAATTATGATATTAAAATTTTCAATGGCATTAGTATGATTATATTATTATCTATGATTTACAAATGGTGAACGCGTATTAGTGATATCAATGAAAAATAGTAGTATTTGTCTATGTATTATATGCAATATAAACTCCGCCTACGATATTAGATCAGTTTTCAAGCACAGATGATACGCAATCAATTGGTGTCAATTAAATTGTCATATATTCAGTAATTTTTGAATAAATTGGTATTTAATTTCCACCTGCACCGACAACAATTTTCTTTTCTTCTTAACATAATTAATGGACGCCCAATTATGATACTTACGTATTTAAAACCAGCAAACAACACACAATTTATTGGTAAAATTTAAAACAGAGGATTATTTATATCGGGAGCCAGAGATTCACACGATTGAAAAACATATATTATCTTTCATCTATGGTTCGTCTGACGAGAGAAGTTATAATCTATGGAAATTGTCATGATAGTATCTGTGGAGTATTTTGTTAACCTAGTCTATGTATTAACCTCACTCTTTCGACAGCGTAGCCGCATAAGTGAAAGATAATTAATTAAATCATGTTAATTTATGGAAATCGACTATTCTTAGGCATTCAGAACCTTCTCCTCCTAACCAAAGTAAATTTTTATCAATTACTGTTTTAGAATCTGAATCTTTTTAAACGCATTATAACAGTTTCAGCAAGAAAGAACAAAATATGTTGGAGCCCGTATGATAAGAGATGTGAAACGTCGAAACATAGTAAAGGAATATGCTCCTACTCGTCTTCGAATTAATTCACTGCGAAAAAATGATATCTTACCAGCAGAACTTCAATGCATTGCAGATGAGGAGATCGGAAATCTTCCTAGAGATTCTGCAGTTTTACGGCTTCAAGGGCGATGTGTTGTAACTTCTAGGCCGCGAGGCGTTGCACATCGATGGAGGTTAAGTCGAATAGTTTTTCGTGATTTAGCTGACCACAATAAATTGTCTGGAATACAAAGAGCAATGTGGTAATTAAATAAATGTTTAACGGTATAGAAATATAACAACATAATAAGAATTTTCCTGGTTTTATTGCTTTGACTCATATAATTGATTCTATGACATTTCTGCTACATTTGCAGCGTAATGTGTAATAAATCTAGCTGATGGATCATTTACATTTATCCATTTTGGCATCCAAAAGTAAGGAATGAGTGTGTTTGCCAAAGATGGATAATGTTTTTCAAAAACAGTCCTGTAATAAAATGATTCCTTCGTTTTAGGTGTGCAATGTGGGAACATTTCTGCAGCTTTTATTTCATCAAATTTTTCTGGCATTCGTTTATCTACGATTTCTGCAAGTATTGTAAATAGAGATTTCTTTTCTGAGGCGACTCCATCACTAAAATGATCGACATTAAAATATTAACACTATTTCGTTTTCTAAATTATTTTACCTAAAAGCTTCCTTATGACGCCAAAGAATTTTCGAAGGAAGCAAACTTGTTTCATCAAATGCAGAACGTATTAGAAATTTTTCAATTTTTCCGTCTTTTGGCTGTCTAATTTCCTCAGGTAAATTTAAAATATAACTACTAAATTGCAGATCCAAGAATGGAACCCTCAGTTCTAAACTAAGAATTACGTCGTTTACTAAATTATAAAAAGTTAATTATTCGGTCAACTTTAAACTATTATAATTTTAATGATGCTGTAATATAAGCATTAACCATTATTTAGGAAGAAATAAAATGACACAAAGAAGTAAAAATGTTTACCTATTAGCCGATGTAGTTCTATCAGCTCTTAATCCATCAAACAAGTAGATGTCCTTTAGTAGTCTGATACTTTCATTATGAGCCGACGTCGGGTCCGGCGCGTCCCTAAAATAAATATAGCCCTGAGCTAATTCGTCCGCACCTTCACCACTGATCAATACTGTGGTATCCGTTTGTTCTAAGATATACTTAGAAACCAAATACATTCCTATAGATGCTCTAACAGTTGTGATATCAGGAGTTTCTAAGTAATATATGACATCGTCTAAAACCGCTTCAACATCTTCTTCCGTGAAAATTACTTCGTGGTGTTCTGTACCGATATATTCTGCAACTTCCCTGGCTGCGATTAAGTCTGGACTATCGCTCATTCCTACCGAGAACGACTGCAAATAAAATGCTTAATTCAATGCATGTATAAATTTAATTTCTGGTAATAAATTCCAATTCAAAATTCAAATTTTAATTCAATTTTAAGTGCAGGCTAAATTGCCTCCAGAGACATTTGCATTGATGGTTGTAATTAATCAAAAAAAAAAATACGAAGTGCATAGCACATACTTGTATTTTGTACGGTATTTTGGCTTTGTTTGTTTCTGCTACAAGGAGTGCTGCAAGTAGTGACGAATCTAAACCACCTGAAAGCAAGCAACCAATTCTACGATCGGCCATAAGTCGCTTTTTGACTGCCATTGTCAATAAATTTCTTACATTTGCATATACATCTTTAGTAAAATCTACAAAACAACATTAGTTTCTGATAAGTTCAATTACTTAATCAATTAACAGTAAATATGGAACAATAAAGCAAAAAATGAAACCTCTGTAGGATAGAAATGGTTTGAAAACAGGCGTGTCAGTTGGTTTGTGGAAACGTTGACTATTAAGAAACTTCACTGTACCATTCTCCATTAGTTTATATTCTTCGAATGTGCCTGGAGAAAATGGTTCTAATATTTTATTAGCTTCATTAAGTTCTTTATATAGGTTCACTAAACCTGCAAACCAAACACTGTTACATTTTGGAAAAGTTTGTGCAAGTATTTTTCTTGTATTTCTCTTAAAAATCATTAATTTTTGCAGTAAAAATATGAATAACAATTCTGTTCTTTTGACTCACCTTTAGCTTCAGATGATATACCTAACACTTTATTTGCACCAGTCACTTTAAACAATGGTCGAACACCATATGGATCTCTTGCTATATAAACAGCTTGTTTCTTCACATCGACAATACAAAATGCAAAGACTCCATCTAAATTTTTCACGCATTTTTCTATACCGTACTTGTTGTACAGATGCAAAATGCATTCAACATCATTATTTGTTTCATACACAAAATTTTCTTCCTTAGCTAGCTAAAATTTAATTATATTATATAAATTGCATTGTTTAGTTTGGTTTATAAATAAATAAGATATTTATATACCTACCTTTTTACAGTTGTACAGTTCTCCGTTACAAATAAGAACTTGAAAAGGATAAGCATGTAATTTCATAGGTTGCATACCATGTAGTGTATCGACAATTGTTAATCGATGGAAACCAATAGTCGCATCCTAACAAAAATCTATTAAATATTTTCAAATAATAGGAATGCACAATCTTGAAAGTAGAATTATAAATTACCTTTACTCTCCTATCACACTCTAATCTCCATGCATCAGGGCCTCGTTTACTAATTTTTGTAAAAGATGCTAAAAAGCATTCTTTCAAGTCACACTGAATGCCAAAAACCGCCCAAATTCCACACATGATTTCAAAATTTAGCTTTTTATAAACTTACTACAAAAAAGAACTGCTCGAAATGTACTATATTCAAGTTATGCGACTTTACGTAAAAGGGTAAACGCAACGTTAAAATGCAAGCGCGTGGTGCCAACGTGTTTGTAGACTTTATCGCCAGCCATAGCATTTATCGCAAAATCTAAAAATACGGAATGTGTAAAATTCACAATTAATTAATAATACTTAATAATTATAGCTATAGTAGATAAGTATGGTGTTTTCAATGTTATGCTTATGCAACCAACTTATCGTATAGGTGCAAATCTTACATACTCAAAGTAATAGAATGTTATAAAAACTAGTTTGATTTTGGTAATTTTTCATAATAAAAAGAATTAATAGTAACAGGAATAAACGGGAAGGCACCACAATAGAGACAATGACAAATAACAAGTTCTTTGTTTATAAACAATATTTTAGTGATTTAACATATCATTAATGAATTGTTCCCAAAACCGTGCCTCTTTTTCCTTAAATGTTTCAAGCCTGGTATGTGCTGGCTGATATGTTTCCACCACGCCCAGTCCAATTTGTATGAATAAATTTACCCTCCTGTCCGAGTAACTCATATGTGTGAGCTCCAAAATAATCTCTTTGTGCTTGTAGTAAATTGGCAGGAAGACGTTTCGATCTGTATCCATCATAAAATGCAAGAGCAGTGCTCAGTGCAGGAGTAGGAACACCTGTAACAAAAATAGAAGGGTCGATTTCATTTCAATTTGGAAGCACTAAGATAGGAATGTCTCGGATTTACCAATATTTACTGCAGTTGATACAACATTTCTCCATCCACTTTGTGCTTTAGTAATGGCTTCTTTGAAGAAGGGGGCAAACAAGAGGTTCTTCAGTGTAGGGTCTTTGCTAAAAGCGGTTTTAATCTGTCCCAAGAATACTGATCTAATAATACAACCCCCTCTCCACATCAAAGCAATGGAACCATAATCTAAAGACCAATTATACATTTTCGCTGCTTCCCGCAATAACATGAATCCTTGGGCATATGAAACTATTTTGCTTGCATACAACGCCTGAAATATTTTAAATTTTATAAATTTATAATGGAATTTCGGTAATTTCAATGTCAAAAAACAGAAAAAATTGAACATGTAGCTGAGCAGATAGGACTGTGTAAAACTAACATTTCTGGTAAAACTATATCAAAATCAATATTAGTTTTATTTTTTTTTGAGTGTTCTGTTTATTTAAAGAAATAAATCGAATTCTATTTTAATAAATAAATCGAATTACTCAAGTTCATTATTAAGATAAAATTTAAATTTTAACAGGTAAGTTTTTAACCTGACGACAATCCTCCAAGAATTTAAGCTTGTCACCGCTGAACTTAGTCGTAGGTCCAGGAAGTTGAGCACTGGCGGTTTGTCTTTCATCAATTAAAGCAGATAGACATCGACTAAAGACGGCTTCCCCAATAAGAGTCACGGGAACTCCATAATTTAATGCAGCAATTGCTGTCCATTTTCCTGTTCCTTTTTGACCAGCTGCATCTCTTATTTTTGGGAGAAGATATTTACCTAAATTAAACTTAATTAACAACATATTTTTAAATAGTTGATACATTTACCATCAGCATCTTTGAATTTTAATATATCCTTGGTGATTTCTATCAAAAAACTGTCTAATTCTCCTTTATTCCATTCTTCAAAAATGTAGGCCATTTCAGACTGATCGAGTCCAATTGCCAACATCAAATGGTATATTTCGCCTATCAATTGCATATCACCATATTCAATACCATTATGAACCATTTTAACAAAGTGTCCTGCACCATCAGACCCTACCCAGTGGCAGCATGGTTGTCCATCAACTTTAGCGGCAATACTTTGAAATATTGATTTGATATGAGGCCATGCTTCTGAATGACCACCAGGCATCAAGCTGGGTCCATAACGTGCTCCATCTTCGCCTCCTGACACACCTGCTCCAACAAATCTTAAGCCCTTTTCTTCCAATTCCTTGCAACGTCTTTGGGTATCTGTATACTCAGAATTTCCTCCATCGATCACGATATCGCCCTTGCTCAAGTATGGAAGTAATTGATCAATAAAAGCATCGACTGCATTTCCTGCTTTCACAAGAAGCATAATTCGTCTTGGTGCCTTTAATTTAGACACAAGATCTTCAATTGATACTGCACCAATGATGCTCTTTCCTTTAGCTTCATTTGAGAGAAACGCGTGTACCTTTTCCACAGTTCTATTATAAGCAACTACAGTAAAACCATGGTCGGCCATGTTCAAAATTAAATTTTGTCCCATTACAGCTAAACCAATTAATCCGATATCTCCCTTTCTAAAAAAAATTATTATGTAATTGTGGGTTAACTAATAAATACTTTTTAGTTAGTATTTTGAAAAAGATGAACCATATATTATATTTAACAGTGCAAAAAAAAAAAGAAAACCACTTCAGAATATAAACTTACCATACTTATTTTGCAGTAAAACATACTTTCTTTGTAATTATTTTAACATTTGAATCAATTTGAGTAGCACTATAAAAACATCAAATAAAATCGAAAATTACTTAATATCCCTAGTAATTGAAAGGAAATGACAAGTGAATTTTGTAATAAATATAAACACCAAATAGGCGATTAAATTTTAAATTAATATAACTTACTTTTCGGCCATTTTTTGTGTATTATTCTGGATTTTATTAACAACTACGAGGTACGGGATTATACTTGTTGAATATATGTAAATGTGCTCCAACTACAATTCCATTGCATATTCCAAAGTCACATTGAGACTTGAAGGTCAGCATCAACGTCTCGTTCCATTTATCTACTATGTTTCGTTACGATAAAATGATTACCAAGGAATACTGTTATTCGCTAATCATTTTTAACTGAATTTTGTTATTGGTATATTGGTTTTTGCCAAGGACTTTGTACATGCCATGGTGCCACGACCATGTACACGTACACATCCCCTCCTAAAGTTGTACGAATGTACCACACATAGGTACCACGTTTCTTATCAATAAAAACAAATAGAAAACCCTTACATGTCCTTACTCTATTGTAAACCTATGACATGTCAGAAACCAGAAGAGCACTTACTTAGCTGTAGCAGTGCTGCACAACTTTTGTAATGTATGACCATGTATATAACCATGGTATAACAGTATAACTATACTTAACTTATTAGGTCAGGCCTTAATACTTGATTACTCAGAAAAAGAAAAAGAAAGTTGTACATATGAAGGTGTAGGACAAAATAAAAACAATATCATTAAAATAGTTTCGAAATGTTTTATGATAGGACAAGTAGGGGATAGAAAAAATTCATGGAAATAATTAACAACTATTAATCGTTTGCAAATATATGCTTTTATTGCTATGCAAAAATTGTCGTACTTACATTTTATTACATCATTGCAAACATTTTCCACAGCACTTATTGTTTCTTTTGATATTTGGACTATGGTTTGGTGTCCACGGACCTAAACTATCATTAGCATAAAAATCCATCGCATAACGTTCCCCACCTTCTGTTGCACTCCAATTCAGTTGTTTATTTAAAAGTGCACTTTCATATGGAGTTAATAATGGTTTTAAAAATGATTTACCCCAATCTATGGATAGCCTGGGGCAAGCGGTTTGAACAAAGGCATCCACTTGTTGAAACAAGTTTAATTTTAATGGAAATATTTCAGACAGTAAAATAGAAATAGTAGTCTTTCCACACTTCTGAAGACTTTGATGCAGAAAATTGAAGACTCTGACATTTCCCTGTCTTCCCAGAGTTCCCAAGATTATTCCGATGGAATTCCCTTTGGATGCTTTCATTATATCAGACTTTCTCATTTCATACAGATGATCATGCTGATATAATTCTTTTGTTATTTTCTTTTCATAAGGATCATATTTATATACACTCACATTTGGATTCGCTATAATTACAGCTTCCAAGTGAAATCTTCCGTCACCCACATATAGTATAACATCTGCACATTTTACAGTTGGTGCAGTACACCCTAGTATTTCACCTGGGGAAAGTGGCTTACACTGTGGTATTGTAACATTATAACCATCCTCTATCAGTTTTTTTGCAACACTTTGCAATGCTCTTATGAATTGTACTGTACTAACCAATGCCACATGGACTGTCTTATTAAAATTCAATTTTAAAGTCTCAATGCAATGTTGTAGATCTATCTCAATGTCAACAAATACATATAATACTTTAATAGAACTGGTTTGAGTAATTGGAATTAAGCAACTGTGTCCATAATGAATTAAAAGATCAACGCCAACAATACGTGCTGTAAAATCGTCAATACAGCACGCCCCATAAGTAACATCACCCATTATAATAACTTCTGCTTGAGTAAATTCGCTTATTATATCTGCTATTGTAGTGGCAAACATTAACAATCCTTCTGGCATTTGTAAGGCAACTAATGTAGCATTTGCTTCTTGAATACGCCATACAGACTTTGCAATTTCAAAATTATAATTTTTGGGTAGTTTACTAATAGCAGCTTTTAGTTTTTCATTTTTCAATAATTGTTCTGGAACTTTGCTAATTTTTCTTATGGGAGTAAAAATTTTTCTTTGTGCATTGGCCCTGACAATTGTCGTTCCACTTTGCTCCATAATTTTGCTGTATTACTACAACTCAAAAATTTTCTTTTGCGACAATCAGTAATAACAATCAAAAATGAAATTTAAACTTAGCCTCACATTTTTGCCCTTTTATTTACGGTTATTAGAACCTCATCTCCAAGAAGAGTCCTACCATTCAATGAAATTAATTAATGGATTACTGGCAGAAAAAACGACAACTTAAATGATGCTATATTTATGAATCGCTTCTTTTGGATTTCGCATCAATAATAAAAGGATCATCACAATATTTAATTTTTTAAATTCCCGCTATAACCGAAAACTACACGTGCGCATATCACTTCAGAGTGTGGTGTTGTCATCAAAGATAAGAGATATACAAAGGGTAAGGTTGTCATCATAGATAATGTTGTCATTGTCAGTTTAATAATAACAGTAATAATATCAATTAATGAATAAGATGGGATCTTGTCTATGGTCAGAATAGAAATATGATAGAGAGGTATGCATACGCATAAATACGTCACGAAGCACTTCTATATAAAATACTTTTTGCCTATGATAATATTTATATTACTTTTTTATGCTTTTTATTGGGCACCTGTATGTTTTGTTATGCAATAAACAATGAAACGGCTTTTAATGTTTTCATTTGTTCAATACAGTTTCCATGATTGAGTGAAAAATTGTCAAGTTACAATCAGTCTTCTTAAATAGTTAGGAATATTGCTTGTTTCCTGTTAATCCTTTATTTTCCTTTAAAGCATAACAAAACGACTAATGAATCCATTTCAATTGTCTGGCTTTTGCTTGAGTCCTGTCGTTTCGTTGCCAGGGGGCTTCATTTAAGACCCATATCTTATCTATGGTTCAGTATAATCTCTATTGGTTGATTGGTTCAGTCTTTTGGTTGTATTGGTCTGTCCGTGCTGTCAATGTGTGTAGTTTATAATGTTTTATTGAGAATTTTTGCACTTTATATCTGTAAAAGTTAAAAAAAAAGAAATAATTTAATTTTTATGTGTTCCTAGGGTAAGTAACTAATAATTACACAAGTTTTTTGAAGAATTTGTTATACATACACATAAAGGCAGATGCATGTACGATTGATATACATGTAATGGTAGATATGTTTTTAAGGTTAAGTTATTGATGCATCTGAATTTTAAAACAAACTTTACTACGTATTTTTCTGCTATTTTTTTTGTTGAACTAATTTTTTTGAATTTCAAATANTTTAAGGTTAAGTTATTGATGCATCTGAATTTTAAAACAAACTTTACTACGTATTTTTCTGCTATTTTTTTTGTTGAACTAATTTTTTTGAATTTCAAATAAGAAAAATAATTTCCATGTTTTTGCCTATACATTATCGAGTTATACAATTTACATGTGTTAATCGATGGAAACCAATAGTCGCATCCTAACAAAAATCTATTAAATATTTTCAAATAATAGGAATGCACAATCTTGAAAGTAGAATTATAAATTACCTTTACTCTCCTATCACACTCTAATCTCCATGCATCAGGGCCTCGTTTACTAATTTTTGTAAAAGATGCTAAAAAGCATTCTTTCAAGTCACACTGAATGCCAAAAACCGCCCAAATTCCACACATGATTTCAAAATTTAGCTTTTTATAAACTTACTACAAAAAAGAACTGCTCGAAATGTACTATATTCAAGTTATGCGACTTTACGTAAAAGGGTAAACGCAACGTTAAAATGCAAGCGCGTGGTGCCAACGTGTTTGTAGACTTTATCGCCAGCCATAGCATTTATCGCAAAATCTAAAAATACGGAATGTGTAAAATTCACAATTAATTAATAATACTTAATAATTATAGCTATAGTAGATAAGTATGGTGTTTTCAATGTTATGCTTATGCAACCAACTTATCGTATAGGTGCAAATCTTACATACTCAAAGTAATAGAATGTTATAAAAACTAGTTTGATTTTGGTAATTTTTCATAATAAAAAGAATTAATAGTAACAGGAATAAACGGGAAGGCACCACAATAGAGACAATGACAAATAACAAGTTCTTTGTTTATAAACAATATTTTAGTGATTTAACATATCATTAATGAATTGTTCCCAAAACCGTGCCTCTTTTTCCTTAAATGTTTCAAGCCTGGTATGTGCTGGCTGATATGTTTCCACCACGCCCAGTCCAATTTGTATGAATAAATTTACCCTCCTGTCCGAGTAACTCATATGTGTGAGCTCCAAAATAATCTCTTTGTGCTTGTAGTAAATTGGCAGGAAGACGTTTCGATCTGTATCCATCATAAAATGCAAGAGCAGTGCTCAGTGCAGGAGTAGGAACACCTGTAACAAAAATAGAAGGGTCGATTTCATTTCAATTTGGAAGCACTAAGATAGGAATGTCTCGGATTTACCAATATTTACTGCAGTTGATACAACATTTCTCCATCCACTTTGTGCTTTAGTAATGGCTTCTTTGAAGAAGGGGGCAAACAAGAGGTTCTTCAGTGTAGGGTCTTTGCTAAAAGCGGTTTTAATCTGTCCCAAGAATACTGATCTAATAATACAACCCCCTCTCCACATCAAAGCAATGGAACCATAATCTAAAGACCAATTATACATTTTCGCTGCTTCCCGCAATAACATGAATCCTTGGGCATATGAAACTATTTTGCTTGCATACAACGCCTGAAATATTTTAAATTTTATAAATTTATAATGGAATTTCGGTAATTTCAATGTCAAAAAACAGAAAAAATTGAACATGTAGCTGAGCAGATAGGACTGTGTAAAACTAACATTTCTGGTAAAACTATATCAAAATCAATATTAGTTTTATTTTTTTTTGAGTGTTCTGTTTATTTAAAGAAATAAATCGAATTCTATTTTAATAAATAAATCGAATTACTCAAGTTCATTATTAAGATAAAATTTAAATTTTAACAGGTAAGTTTTTAACCTGACGACAATCCTCCAAGAATTTAAGCTTGTCACCGCTGAACTTAGTCGTAGGTCCAGGAAGTTGAGCACTGGCGGTTTGTCTTTCATCAATTAAAGCAGATAGACATCGACTAAAGACGGCTTCCCCAATAAGAGTCACGGGAACTCCATAATTTAATGCAGCAATTGCTGTCCATTTTCCTGTTCCTTTTTGACCAGCTGCATCTCTTATTTTTGGGAGAAGATATTTACCTAAATTAAACTTAATTAACAACATATTTTTAAATAGTTGATACATTTACCATCAGCATCTTTGAATTTTAATATATCCTTGGTGATTTCTATCAAAAAACTGTCTAATTCTCCTTTATTCCATTCTTCAAAAATGTAGGCCATTTCAGACTGATCGAGTCCAATTGCCAACATCAAATGGTATATTTCGCCTATCAATTGCATATCACCATATTCAATACCATTATGAACCATTTTAACAAAGTGTCCTGCACCATCAGACCCTACCCAGTGGCAGCATGGTTGTCCATCAACTTTAGCGGCAATACTTTGAAATATTGATTTGATATGAGGCCATGCTTCTGAATGACCACCAGGCATCAAGCTGGGTCCATAACGTGCTCCATCTTCGCCTCCTGACACACCTGCTCCAACAAATCTTAAGCCCTTTTCTTCCAATTCCTTGCAACGTCTTTGGGTATCTGTATACTCAGAATTTCCTCCATCGATCACGATATCGCCCTTGCTCAAGTATGGAAGTAATTGATCAATAAAAGCATCGACTGCATTTCCTGCTTTCACAAGAAGCATAATTCGTCTTGGTGCCTTTAATTTAGACACAAGATCTTCAATTGATACTGCACCAATGATGCTCTTTCCTTTAGCTTCATTTGAGAGAAACGCGTGTACCTTTTCCACAGTTCTATTATAAGCAACTACAGTAAAACCATGGTCGGCCATGTTCAAAATTAAATTTTGTCCCATTACAGCTAAACCAATTAATCCGATATCTCCCTTTCTAAAAAAAATTATTATGTAATTGTGGGTTAACTAATAAATACTTTTTAGTTAGTATTTTGAAAAAGATGAACCATATATTATATTTAACAGTGCAAAAAAAAAAAGAAAACCACTTCAGAATATAAACTTACCATACTTATTTTGCAGTAAAACATACTTTCTTTGTAATTATTTTAACATTTGAATCAATTTGAGTAGCACTATAAAAACATCAAATAAAATCGAAAATTACTTAATATCCCTAGTAATTGAAAGGAAATGACAAGTGAATTTTGTAATAAATATAAACACCAAATAGGCGATTAAATTTTAAATTAATATAACTTACTTTTCGGCCATTTTTTGTGTATTATTCTGGATTTTATTAACAACTACGAGGTACGGGATTATACTTGTTGAATATATGTAAATGTGCTCCAACTACAATTCCATTGCATATTCCAAAGTCACATTGAGACTTGAAGGTCAGCATCAACGTCTCGTTCCATTTATCTACTATGTTTCGTTACGATAAAATGATTACCAAGGAATACTGTTATTCGCTAATCATTTTTAACTGAATTTTGTTATTGGTATATTGGTTTTTGCCAAGGACTTTGTACATGCCATGGTGCCACGACCATGTACACGTACACATCCCCTCCTAAAGTTGTACGAATGTACCACACATAGGTACCACGTTTCTTATCAATAAAAACAAATAGAAAACCCTTACATGTCCTTACTCTATTGTAAACCTATGACATGTCAGAAACCAGAAGAGCACTTACTTAGCTGTAGCAGTGCTGCACAACTTTTGTAATGTATGACCATGTATATAACCATGGTATAACAGTATAACTATACTTAACTTATTAGGTCAGGCCTTAATACTTGATTACTCAGAAAAAGAAAAAGAAAGTTGTACATATGAAGGTGTAGGACAAAATAAAAACAATATCATTAAAATAGTTTCGAAATGTTTTATGATAGGACAAGTAGGGGATAGAAAAAATTCATGGAAATAATTAACAACTATTAATCGTTTGCAAATATATGCTTTTATTGCTATGCAAAAATTGTCGTACTTACATTTTATTACATCATTGCAAACATTTTCCACAGCACTTATTGTTTCTTTTGATATTTGGACTATGGTTTGGTGTCCACGGACCTAAACTATCATTAGCATAAAAATCCATCGCATAACGTTCCCCACCTTCTGTTGCACTCCAATTCAGTTGTTTATTTAAAAGTGCACTTTCATATGGAGTTAATAATGGTTTTAAAAATGATTTACCCCAATCTATGGATAGCCTGGGGCAAGCGGTTTGAACAAAGGCATCCACTTGTTGAAACAAGTTTAATTTTAATGGAAATATTTCAGACAGTAAAATAGAAATAGTAGTCTTTCCACACTTCTGAAGACTTTGATGCAGAAAATTGAAGACTCTGACATTTCCCTGTCTTCCCAGAGTTCCCAAGATTATTCCGATGGAATTCCCTTTGGATGCTTTCATTATATCAGACTTTCTCATTTCATACAGATGATCATGCTGATATAATTCTTTTGTTATTTTCTTTTCATAAGGATCATATTTATATACACTCACATTTGGATTCGCTATAATTACAGCTTCCAAGTGAAATCTTCCGTCACCCACATATAGTATAACATCTGCACATTTTACAGTTGGTGCAGTACACCCTAGTATTTCACCTGGGGAAAGTGGCTTACACTGTGGTATTGTAACATTATAACCATCCTCTATCAGTTTTTTTGCAACACTTTGCAATGCTCTTATGAATTGTACTGTACTAACCAATGCCACATGGACTGTCTTATTAAAATTCAATTTTAAAGTCTCAATGCAATGTTGTAGATCTATCTCAATGTCAACAAATACATATAATACTTTAATAGAACTGGTTTGAGTAATTGGAATTAAGCAACTGTGTCCATAATGAATTAAAAGATCAACGCCAACAATACGTGCTGTAAAATCGTCAATACAGCACGCCCCATAAGTAACATCACCCATTATAATAACTTCTGCTTGAGTAAATTCGCTTATTATATCTGCTATTGTAGTGGCAAACATTAACAATCCTTCTGGCATTTGTAAGGCAACTAATGTAGCATTTGCTTCTTGAATACGCCATACAGACTTTGCAATTTCAAAATTATAATTTTTGGGTAGTTTACTAATAGCAGCTTTTAGTTTTTCATTTTTCAATAATTGTTCTGGAACTTTGCTAATTTTTCTTATGGGAGTAAAAATTTTTCTTTGTGCATTGGCCCTGACAATTGTCGTTCCACTTTGCTCCATAATTTTGCTGTATTACTACAACTCAAAAATTTTCTTTTGCGACAATCAGTAATAACAATCAAAAATGAAATTTAAACTTAGCCTCACATTTTTGCCCTTTTATTTACGGTTATTAGAACCTCATCTCCAAGAAGAGTCCTACCATTCAATGAAATTAATTAATGGATTACTGGCAGAAAAAACGACAACTTAAATGATGCTATATTTATGAATCGCTTCTTTTGGATTTCGCATCAATAATAAAAGGATCATCACAATATTTAATTTTTTAAATTCCCGCTATAACCGAAAACTACACGTGCGCATATCACTTCAGAGTGTGGTGTTGTCATCAAAGATAAGAGATATACAAAGGGTAAGGTTGTCATCATAGATAATGTTGTCATTGTCAGTTTAATAATAACAGTAATAATATCAATTAATGAATAAGATGGGATCTTGTCTATGGTCAGAATAGAAATATGATAGAGAGGTATGCATACGCATAAATACGTCACGAAGCACTTCTATATAAAATACTTTTTGCCTATGATAATATTTATATTACTTTTTTATGCTTTTTATTGGGCACCTGTATGTTTTGTTATGCAATAAACAATGAAACGGCTTTTAATGTTTTCATTTGTTCAATACAGTTTCCATGATTGAGTGAAAAATTGTCAAGTTACAATCAGTCTTCTTAAATAGTTAGGAATATTGCTTGTTTCCTGTTAATCCTTTATTTTCCTTTAAAGCATAACAAAACGACTAATGAATCCATTTCAATTGTCTGGCTTTTGCTTGAGTCCTGTCGTTTCGTTGCCAGGGGGCTTCATTTAAGACCCATATCTTATCTATGGTTCAGTATAATCTCTATTGGTTGATTGGTTCAGTCTTTTGGTTGTATTGGTCTGTCCGTGCTGTCAATGTGTGTAGTTTATAATGTTTTATTGAGAATTTTTGCACTTTATATCTGTAAAAGTTAAAAAAAAAGAAATAATTTAATTTTTATGTGTTCCTAGGGTAAGTAACTAATAATTACACAAGTTTTTTGAAGAATTTGTTATACATACACATAAAGGCAGATGCATGTACGATTGATATACATGTAATGGTAGATATGTTTTTAAGGTTAAGTTATTGATGCATCTGAATTTTAAAACAAACTTTACTACGTATTTTTCTGCTATTTTTTTTGTTGAACTAATTTTTTTGAATTTCAAATAAGAAAAATAATTTCCATGTTTTTGCCTATACATTATCGAGTTATACAATTTACATGTGTGTTCAATATAATATACACAGATTATATATTATATAAATTTCTATTTACTGGCATACACATTTTGTACATAATAGTTTACAATATTGTACTTCGTACTTTAAATTTTAATAGTCTACAAATATTTTTACTTGTAATTGTCTTTTGGAATATAGATCTAAAATATTTTTTTGATTTTTTTGGTGTACTAATAATAGGAGACGTTAATTTTATGAATCATGAAACTCATGATTCACATTTCCAAAAAAAAAGTTTCCTTTAAAATGAATAAGCAATA